AAGATACGATTTCGAAATTGTGCTAACAAGAGCACTGGCGTTTCTTTATTTGGAGTTTAGTGAACGAGAAGTGGACTTGCATTGGAAAAGCCAACGACAACAGTCTCGATCAACGATCAAGATCTGGTAAAAACCTTACTAGCTCTAGTCTGACTTACAAGACGTCAAATCTTTGGAATCTTGACGTCAGATCGTCAGATCTTGTCCTTGGTACTCAACCAGTTGAACACTAAGCCCAAAACAAAAGAAAGAACACATTTAGTCATTTTACGGCCAGCCTAACCAAATCCGAAGTAAAGTAAAGACAAAGGCAAGGCTTGATTTAGCTTTAGCACTTTCTGATTTCCACTACTAACCCTTGGAAAATCTTGGACTCACCGAATTCCTAGATTCAAAGGCTTCACTAAGGATTTTCTAATTCATTGCAAAATTTGAGATAGAGATCTTTCAATCATCATCATCTTTTTCATCATTTCAAAGACTAGAGTGTTTCTTCAGCTCCCTTCGGTGTTTCTTCAGCTTCCCGTCCACAATTTCTCACACCCAAATTATTTTTTCCCTTTTTTTCCCCACTGAACACCACGCGAAAGAAATTGAGCTTCTTTTCATTTGGAAATTCATTGGGGAGCTTCTTTTACAAAATCCCCCCCTTGACCCTGGAATTAATTCTCCAATTTGCGTCTTCAATTTCCTTTCTCCCAGCTATCAGATGAGAAGGAACGGTCAACTTTACATACATATTCTTCACCTTTTCTCTTTAAAACTAAGTTATTTTCAATTCAATTTTTCCATTTCCCCGATTCTTTTTGATCTCTGGCTTCCTTGTTTACAAAAATAACTTATTTTCAGAAATTCAGAAATACAGAAGACTTTACAGGTACCAATTTGCAAAACATTTAAAAAAAACTTTTGAAAGACTTCAAAAACAAATTTTCAATTAAGGATTTTTTTAAAAAGTTTTGTCTAAAGATTGGCTCTTGTTTTGAGTCGAATGATGTGATGGAAATGGAAATGGAAATGGAAATGGAAATGGAAATGGAAATGGAATGGAAATGGAAATGGAAAGGAAATCGGCTTTTGATCCGCAAAACTTTTCGTAATTTCGTAACATCAAATAAATCAGTAAATGGAAATGATCAATTCGTCATGTTGCCTATCGGTTAAAAATGGTTAAAACCGGTTAAAAACTGGTTAAAGTTATCAAATAATTCAGATTATTTCATAGTTTTCATCGAGATTTCATGGAAAAGCAAGAAAAGGTTCCCCCTTTTCCGCAACAAATTTAATTCCACCGTCTTCCGGGAATCACAAATTCTCACCCGTCATTCTTGATTCATAAATTGGAGTTATTAAGGCAAAAAAAATGAGCTCTTTTGCTGCTAAAATGATTGAAACGAATTTGGAATACACTTTTCCTACTATTGAGAGCTTTTTCCCCCTAAAATCACCTGTAACGCCTGCAAAACTTTTCCCTTTTCCCTTTATTTCAAAAAATGACATTTATACATAGTATTCTTGCTCTTTTTCTTTCTCTACATTTCTTTCTTGCATTGTGCACGTGAAATCTATGCAAACTCATCCCTCCTTGTGCACTCGTTTCTCTATTTCATTTGCAATAATGCTTTGCTTTTATAAGGAGTAGTGGAACAACTGAAGCATCGACAAGGAACAAATTGTTTTCTTTGACTTTAAAAGCTTTTGATTGCTGAAAGATAGGAAACAAATATTTGTTAAAATAGCGAAACGAAATTTGTTTAGATAGGGAACCAAATTTGTCAAGATAGGGAACCAAATCTGTTAAAATTTACTTAAATGATTCGCATTTCTCTGTTCTATCTTTGACCTTTCATCGTTTCATCGAAACTTTAAAATTTTTGTAGCGAATTTCAAGATAACTTGTAATTTGAAGTTGAAATTTTTCATTTCAAGCTGAAATTGCCGGCTTTAACATCGGGGTTTTTTCGCCGAATTGCATACGCTTTTCATTTACCGTAAACACATGATGTGATTCATTTTCAAATCTTAAACCATTAAATTCGAATTTAGAAGAAAACTCGACAATTTCTTCCTTCACACATAGCGAGCTTGTGATCATCTTCGACACTTTCAAATAAACTATATATATCTAAGTGTATTGCTAAATATCAATTGCTTATTTTAGCCGTATAAACGTTATTGCTTTCATTATTTACTGCCATTAATCCCCCATCCGACTCATCACAATTTCGTGGATTCCCCGAAAATCTCTTCTTTCTACTTTCCCTATATTCTTTTCCAATTCTTTTCCAATTCTTTTTTGCAATCAGATTGACTTTTAACGGGTTTCCCTTTTCTATCAGAGAAGGGTTATTGCTTTCGTCTTTCAGAAATCATTAGTAACAAGATCAGGGATCTCTTTTTTTTTTGTTTCTCTTTCTTTGACTCATTTCTTCTCATTTTAGAATCATTTTATAGCTTTTACCTCTGTTTTTTATCAATTAGAGTAAGGTGAAAGACTTCGTGTTGGCTTTGAGCTTGGACCAAGTCTAAATAAATGCTCTAGAATTGATCAGATCAAACCAGAAGAGACAAGGCCATATTTTTGGATGTTCGTATAACAATTTAGTGCCAAGTCTTGCAGCCCTCGATCAGATGAATTCAAAGAAAATTGCCCAAACATGATTGAATTGATTCATCAAAAATTGCCCAAACATAGACAAGCCACGGAATAAACTTTGAGCCAATCTTAAAAGGGAAGATCAACTGGATAGGCTGACCAAATGACAATGAGCCATAGAGCTATCGACGCAGAATTTTACGCTGAATTCGAATCTGCTTTCCGTTTTTGCTATGGAGCCCTCGGTCAAAAGTTATAAGGATGTAAAGTTTTGTATGGAATTTTAAAAATCATCCCTCGAGTTTAACAGCAGATTTCCTAGAGATATGAAAGAGCAGCAGTGGTTAGCAAGTGGTAGTCAATTAGAATAAAGAGGCAAACCCTCTCGGGTTCGAGTCCACAGTTTTCCCTTTTTTTGCTTTTTTAAAGGTAATTACTCTCCATTTAAAATACAAGTCTTTTTCAAAGAGCTTTTCATAAAAATGTTTACTTTTAACTACTTTTAACTATTAACTATTGGTTGGGAAAGCTGTTTTTCTAGGATAGCTTTATGCGTAGATTCTCAAAAACATAACGAGAGCTTGGGAAAAGGCGTTCTAAGCCTCCAAAGTGGTTCTAAGGCTCCAAAGTGGTTTTAAGTCGAGTTCCGGGAGCTCTAAAGTGCCTATCCAGCTGTTAGTTTCATTTCATTTTGCAAGTTTCGTATTTTCCAATTTTTGTAGCCTTATAAACTTTGGGTTTTAGCTCAAATTCCAAATAAAAACCCCAAAAAAAGGATTTTTTTTTCTAATTACGCCCGTCATTGTGCGTCATTTTTTTTCCAATCATAAATCATTTTTTGCGAGACAATTTTTGCATCAAATGCTTTTCTTTTTAATTGTTTCTTTTACGCAAAATACAATTCCTGACCTTTTCCCATTGACCCATTTTCCCTTTTTGCTGTCCAGTGTCTTTTTGCTGCATTTTAAACATCACTCAAATCAAATTAACTCCAAATTTTTCTGAAAATTTATCTCAATTCTTAATTCCACTCAATTCTACGCAAATTTCCCCACTTTTCATGATTCGTTTGAGAACGAAAGAACCATTTCAACTACCGTAAATACTGTAATAGTACCCCACCCGCCCTCGTACAGTCGCGTAGTCTCAGTCTCAGTCGCGTAGTTTTTAGTATTTCATTTTTTTCAAAGCGCCCGTACTTTCAAAAAAAAGTGTCTTTGGTATCAAAAAATAGCCCTAAATTTCAGCTATTTTTTGGTACCTAAGCGAGCATTGTAGCATAAACCAGTGTCGAGGAAAACCTCGTTCGGCTAGAGTTCAAAGCACTACGCAACACTCCGCACCGTCAATATGGGGGTGGATACTATTACAGTATTTACGGGGTATGTCGTTCTCAAAAGAAAAGCCCAAATTTTTGTACTCTTAGATACAAATTTTTGTTCGTTTTTCCTAGAACTATATAGAGCTTTGGGCTCAAAGTAAATCTATAATTCTGATGCTTAAAAATAGCTCAAAAGATTGTCAGTAATTCAGTAATTGCTTTGATTGACTCATTTACTTTGGCGCTTGCCGAAAGGCTGGCCTAACTGGCTTAGCTGGCTTAGCTGGCTTACCTTAGCTTAGCTGGCTTAGATTAGCTTAACTTAGCTTAACTTAGCTGGCTTAGCTGGCTTAGCTTAACTTAGCTTAGCTTAACTTAGCTTAGCTTAGCTTAGCTTAGCTTAACTTAGCTGGCTTAGCTTAGCTTAACTTAACTTAACTTAGCTTAGCGATTCATTTGTGTTTACCTCAAAAGTTTCATGAAATCCATGAAAAATTTGCTAAATTATTCCAAATTTCTTCCTTTTCTTCGATCTTTCAAAGAACGAATAAAAAATTTGCCCGCTTTTCACACCCAAATCTTCATTTATTTATCTTAGGATTAAGTTTTCATTCAAATTTCTTTTTGCAAAAGAACACCCAGCCTTATGATTGAATATCTTTTATCTTATTATCTCATCTTTTTTTTCGTATAAATTCACTTACATTCTTGAATCGGATTAAGTGTCATTTGTTTACTTCCAAATTTTTTCTATTTTTTTTATTTTCTTCATTTTCCAGGGTTTTGTGGGTGGCCCAGTCATAAACGCGATGAAAAGAGATTAAAAAGACGCATCTTTTTCATGAGATTTACAACCTACAAGATTTGCAAACGTAGATAAACACTTTGACCAAATTTTTCTTATATTTTCTTGTGTTTTCTTATATTTTCTTATATTTTCTTATATTTTCTTGTGTTCTGGATGTCACATTACTTTTTGGATTATATTGAATTGTCGAAATTTTCAGATCAATGCTTTTCTTCTAAACCGAAATCCGATTGATTCTTCGATTTGTCCTGTTCGTCGAAATCCATTCTTCAACAATGATCGCCTGTCCAAATGACGCGAGACTCTTCGATTTCAACGACAACACCACTCAAGAGATCATCGCCAATTTGAAAGTCTTTCAGAGGTAAAAACGGTTGAGATTTATACGAAATCAAGTGCCATTCTAAAGCAAACCCAACTAAAACTAAGCAATCTTTCTTGAGAATCTATCACTAATTCCTTCTTTAGATTCTACGCTCCAATCCACGGTTATGTGTGCGTGGCGCTATGCGTCTTCGGCATTCTCACCAATCTCGTCCATGTCGCCGTGCTGAGCAGGTGAGTGAAAGCATTTAGTTTCTTCTTCATCAACCATTTTCTATTTTAGGCCCTCAATGCGATCATCGGCTGTGAATTGTCTCCTCACCGCCGTTGCTGTCTGCGATCTCGGCACAATGGGCACATATCTCATCTATATTGTGCACTTCGTTGTATTCCGCCATGATAAATGGTATGTTTATTGAACTCTTTATCATATATCCTTACAAAAAAAAAGTATAAAAATCAAGTGCTGATATCACTTGTAAGTCTAAACTTTGTTTGTTCAAAACCAGGCACTGATCTTTGTCTTTTATCAAGAAAAACTGAACTTTGAAACTCTTTGAAGCCATAGTTTTAAAATCTTTAAAATCTTTGCAAAACCCGGAAACTTTTCTTGCATGGACTGAAAAAAATGGCGTTCTTTGAAAAAATGACAAATCTTAAAGCAAAACCTTGAAACTAATCATCTCATTGATTTTCTAGCAACCCAACTTTCACTCATGGTTGGATGCAATTCTTGCTATGGCATGTCGTCCTCTCAATCACTCTCCATTCGACTTCACTTTGGTTGGCAGTAGCGATGGCTTTCGTGCGCAGGATGACGCTCAGAGTGGCACGGTTGAATAGGTGAGAAAGAGATTCGAATCTAGATAACTTGTACAAATCAAATTTCAGCAAATGGCAACGCCCAGGCATCGCTTGGAAAGTCTCTCTCGTCGTTTACGCGTCTGTTTTCCTGCTTTGCGCCCCAAATATGCTTGTGCACGATATTGCAGGTAATTTGGGAGAAAGTTGAGCGGAGTTTTAATGTAAAAGAAAGCTTAGATTTGTTTTTTTAAAAAAAATCGTTTTAGAATACACACATGCCGTTTGGCGACCATCGCAAAATTGCAATTATCCAGTGAATTACACTGAGAAAATCTACACATTTTCGGTGAGTGAAGAAAGATTTCAAATCATTTTCAATTTGATAATTTCAATTCTTAGATCTCTCGCGTTGCCACAGCGAACAATTGCCGAATTTTCAAGGCAAATATTTGGATGATTGGAATCGTTTTCAAGGTAAAAACCTTAAGAACTTGATTTTCATAACTATGAATATATAAAATATAATAAAATTCAGGTTATCCCGTGCATTCTTCTCTTGTTTCTTTCAATTGGATTGATGATGAAGCTGAGAGATGCTGAGCGAAATCGACGAAAGTTAACGAGTTGCAGCAGCAATTCTTCATATGCAACGAGTAAACAGTAAGTTTTCTTTTGACTCAATTATCTAATTTCATCAAATCAAAATCAAAATCATCAACAATCCTATTCCTAGATCCACGAAAACCGATCGAACAACGCTGATGTTGGTGGTGATCCTAATCGTCTTTCTGATCACTGAACTCCCGCAAGGAATCATCTCAATCCTTTGTGCCATTTATACAGCCGATGTCCACAATTATCTCTACTACTATTTGGGTGATGTACTCGATTTGTTATCCCTTCTCAACTCTTCCGTCAACTTTGTTCTTTACTGTATCATGTCGTCAAGGTGAGAAAATGATAGCATTTTTTTTTTTAAAAATATTATTATCTTTCAGATATCGTAAGACTTTCTGGACGGTTGTCCTCCCTTCTTCCATTTACAAACGAATGTGGCAAAATCGGAACGCGTCACAGACGTTCAATATGGTTTCGCGAAAAGCCAGCCGAAAAAGTGTTCTCAGTCCGGAAAGGTGAAGATTTTACTGTAAAAAGCTCAACGAGAAAGGGCAATGCTTAAGTCGAATTTACAAAGCTATTGTACTTTATGCAAAATAGTCGGAACCCAACAGCTTTGGCACAAATTTATCCACATAATTTTCAGACAAAACCGTGACTACACTCTTTTACCGACCACAGAGTTGCAATGTCCATCGACGCCTGGCTCACTCCGATCGAATACTGATTCGTCTAGTTCTCCAAAAATCGAGCACTTATAAGCCTGTCAGTGTTAGATCTCGAAATTTCTTTGTCCATAATTGTATTACATCCAAGCTTCGCTAAATGATTTCTTGATTTTCTAACAATCCAAATTCATAAACTACCCTAGTTATTGTATAGTTTTTTTTATTAATAAGTCAGTTTAAGTTAGAGTCTAGATTTCAATGCAAACTTTTTATTCTTATCTGGTCCAAACCTCGTGTGTCACTTTACGGGTTTCTCATTGTTGTTTTTTTTTCGATTTTTTTTACTTGTTTGGTTAATTGATTTGAATACGTGTACTTTCTCTTGATGCATAAATTTCTTTTTGAAAATATCATTTAACAACAACAAAATAGGTAGAAATTGTGATGTGCAAACCAATTTAGCAAACAACAACTCACAATCAACATTTGTACCAATAAAATTGAAGAAAATTTGATGAATTGTTCAATTCACTTCAATTTTTGAGTGAATCCTGAGATTTCACTTGTATTCAAATGGCCGAATCCGTAAACGATCTCTCGGCTAAACACCTCACCTTTCTCGACACGAATTGATGGGAATTTTGGCTAAGAAATGATTTATTTGGACTACAGTAAATGGGAATTTGAAAAGTCACCTCATTAACAGCATTCGTGTACCCTTGACATTCGATGGCTATACCCGAGTTTGGCTTGTAGATTTTACCACCTTTTCCCTGAAAGAGATTGAAATTTAAGTGATTTGGCTTTACTTGATTGGCTTTACTTGATTGGTTTTACTTGATTGGCTTTACTTGATTGGCTTTACTTGATCCCCCCCGAAGAATCTATTTTCAGAGATCTATTTTTAACATCTTACCATCGTGTTCGTCACATATTCCCCAGCGTAAACGTGAGCAATCGGATAATTCGTCAACATCTCCATCATGATTCCCGACTTCTCCGAGGCAAGCCTGCAAAATCGATTCGCTTACACATAAAGATTATACAGACTAGTGAACTTACAATATATTGACAGATCTCTGATGTTTAACATCACTCAGAATATAATCATTATCGACTCGTCCAATCCCATCACTTTCCAAAAGAGTGCCCAACTTTTTAGCGCTTCGAAAATCGAACTTTGTTCCCTCGACAGATAGGATTTCTCCTAGAAAGATCAAACTTTACAACAGTATACCATATTTTCTGTGCATAAACGCTAGGAATCAGAATCCTAACCTGTTGGAACCTTTGTTGCATCTGTGGGTAGATACGAGTGAGCACGAATCTCCAATAGATGCTCATTGATTGTTTCCTGAAACGAAATACTCCGCTTATAAGTACTTTATGCGATTAGTTATCTGAAATAAGTCTTTTTTTAATGTACTTTCTGATTAAAATCTGTACTTTCTCCTTGTGATTAAAGCGCAAAGCTCACTCACATCTCCATCGAGATTCCAATAGGTGTGATTCGTCAAGTTGAGCACGGAGTCCTCAGTGCAAATCCCAGTGTACTCAATTATCAACTGGTTCATGTCATTCAATGTATAGGTGCACTGGGAATTGTTTTTCTTTGATATCTTTGATATTTTTGATATTTTTGATATCTTTAATATCTTTGACATCTTTAATATCTTTAATATCTTTGATATCGTTGTATCTTTAATATATCGTTGTATCTTTCATAATTATAAAAAGCTTTCAAAATGATTTTTTTGATAGATCATTAATGCCAATCATAATGGACAAAGTGAAGAAGAGCCGAAAGATCTCTGCTCACTCACATCAATCTTCGCATCACCCGGATACCCATCCTCATCGTTTTTCATAATCACTCGAAAGGTGACCGAAGTGTCCGACCGACGAGCCACTTCCCAATCTCTCTAAAAATCACTTTCTGTGATTTAAATTGATCCTAAAGATATTTGACAAAGAAATGAAATGTACAAGAGATAAGCTGAGAAAACAGACACAATATTACTCAATTCTCACCAATCCACACCCTTTCCCTCCACCATGCAAATGGTTTGGCTCTCGATTTATGTCCAACTGATAAAACCGTCCGTTCAACTCGAAACGTCCATTCCGAATTCGATTGCAAACCCGGCCAACCGTTTGCCCCATGAAGAAACGATCGGCTAGGTAACCTAAAATCGATTGGGTAATGGGAATGTTTTGATTTGTAACTGACCCTCTAAATTATCGAAACCGAGCGTCAAATCCCTTACATGTCCGTCACGATCCGGGAAATGGACACTCTGCAGAATTGCTCCTCTCGACATGACAACGACACGTAATCCTTTCTCGTTAATCAACTCGATTATCGACATTTCTAAGTAATAAAGTAGTAAAGATAGTATTTTGAAAGTAAAAGAAATAAAAGAAATAAACACAGTTATCTAAATCAATAAAATTCATTTAATAGATTAACATTTAAATATTTAAAATAAAGAAAATTATAGAAAATTGAGTTTGGAATGTGTTGAGCAGATCATTTAAAGATTTAGATGAGGAAATTGTTGAGAAAAAAAAAGCATAGAAACAATTGAAGATTTTTTTGCTAATAGCAATCATATAAAAAGATACATTGAAAATCGATCATTTTTGGTAATAAAAAATAAAATTGTATTAAAGATTTAAAAGCCATTTTCAAAAGCTGAGAAATAAATCAAAAAATATTGTGCTATTGATTTATTTTCCCGCAAAAAGTACACTTGTTTTTATTATTTTGTCTGTGTGTGAATACTTTCTGCAGTCTGCAGAGAGTGTTCCAATTTTTCTTCTTTCTTTTCTTCTTTCTTTTCCTCTTGCTTTTCCTCTTGCATTTCCTCTTTCTTTTCTTTCTTTTCCTCTTTCTTTTTCTTCTTTCTTTTCTTCTTTCTCCCTTCTCCCCTTTTTCGTAGAAAGAGATAGGAAATCCTCCAATTGATAGGAAATCAGAGAAAAGAGTAAACAAAATGTTCGCCTTGTCCGATTGCTTAGTTTGATTGTTGGCAATTTGTGAAAATGCATAGTACTAGCAATTTAACAGCACTAAAAAGGAATTTTGCTATAAGAATTTACTCAAGCAGATCACTGTTGAAATAGATCACTTACGGGAGCCGAAAATCAAACTTAAGCCAATTAAATCCGAGTTCAAATTGATAGAACTCATGAAAATGAATAGCTGCAATCGATTCGTCGACCTCGAAAACCCCCGGGAAAAATTTGCAGCTAAATTTCTTCTTTCTATACCATTTACAAAGGAAAAGAAGAATCCCTTTGTGACTGACGAAATGTTCTTTGTGCGCGAGCACAATCGCTCTCCATCTGGCAAACCGCCCTGGTATAAGGTTAGAGAATCCTTGAAAGATCAGACAACTTCTTATCATCCTTTACCCTTCCTCCTTTTTGTCTAACATCATCTGGAAATCAGTTTTTCTCGCCAACCGTTCGACCCGTGCGCAATACATAAACCAATTACAGACGGGGAAACGAAAAGAAAAACGGGGGACATTCAATTTGTAGGCAAAAATTGGACCCATTTCTTCTCAAGCGTTTACTAATAAAAGAAAAGTCCCGATTTTTAATCCCAATCCCGGAAAACAACGCTTTCTGAACTCAAATTTTAATCAATATTTGTTCTTTTATTTTGAAACTTTTGAAGTGTTCATCCCTTGAAATCCATTCTCGAAAACTATCATAATTTTATCTCTATTTTTTTTTACCTAATCTATCCTATCCATCTATTCTTTGTGCGCGAGCACAATCGCTCTCCATCTGGCAAACCGCCCTGGTATATGGTGAGGAATCCCTTAGCTTCCTCCTCTTTCTAACACCATATTCAAATAAAGCCTCTATATCTCTCGATATCGTTTCTAAATCCACACAGAATTCGACCAAAATGTAAATAGTTTTTTGGCTAAATAGAGATACGATTGTTTTAAGTTTTAAGGAAAACAATAGTCTTTTAAAAGAGTTTTTAAAAAACAATAGCCTCTAAAGATGATGGTTATCGTAGGTTTTTAAACCAATTTTTATCTTTTATCTTTTATCTTTTATCTTTTATCTTTTCTCCAAAACACAATCACCTATGACATTGGCATTTTTTTCTTTCTTTCTTTCTTTCTTTCATTCACTCCTAGAAAACCCATTCAAAATTATTTCCCCGAATCACATTTTTTTTCAAAGCATTCTATGAGATTTTGATTCCTTCAAAGATTTCCACTACATCGCCTTCATTCTCCTTCTTTTTTTACAATTTCCTCTTCCCCCCCCCCTCGACACGCGATTTTTGTAGGAAAAAAAATCTCCTTGAACACCCAATAATTTATGATTTTTTTTCTTGGCCAATTCCGTTTCTAATCTTTTAAGATCAACGCTATTTCTTTCAAAATTACCTTTTTTTTATCTTTAGCGCTAAATTTGCGACTTTTCGGGTGACCCCAGCAACGAGAACAGGTGCAAAAATGGCCCAAATAGGTCGGTGATTTTGGAAAACTTCTACGAGTTGATCGCTTTTTTTCTCTACTATCATAAGCTTTTGTGAAAACCAGCTTTAACAAGTTCAACATTTTCATTTTAGACTTTGATCACTTGATGACTTTTTGAGAAACTAACGTTTGCTTTGAAGAGAATGGGCGGCTTCCAATCGCAACAATCCGATCGTGAGTGTTTGGCAAAGCTGGTTAAACTTTTAAAAAAAAACGGAATTTGGAGTATACTATAGTTCTATCTTGACTGGAAGCAGTACTGTACCAGGGTGGTTTGATTTTACTGTTCTCCTAACCTGGAAAAGGATTTACTGATGGTCTGAAGTCAAGTCAGTCCCGAAGTGAAGCTAAGCTCAGATCGACTTTTGTGCCAGAGCCATTCTTTTGCTTAATTTTAGCGGAGAATGAGGCCGGTTTTGGGCGTCGTCAAGAAGATCGTTTAATGTACAAATTGGTGGATATGCACGGTGGAGGGGAGCTGATCGCGTGGATGAGGTGGGCGGGAATGGTTAGAATGAAAATAATTATCTCATTTTAGATACGCTGGTCGTTACGGGGATTACTCGATGGTTGAGGGGTATTTCGATTCAAAAGTGAGTGATTACGGAGCTTTATTTAAAAAACTACCGTCACATCTTTCTAAGCTCCCAATTACCGTAACTGTTTACGGTAACGAATGCCGTAAATACTGTAATAGTACCCCAACCCCATAATGACGGTGCGGAGTGTTGGGTAGTCTAGCTTTGAACGAGTTTTTCTCGACACTGGTTTATGCTACAATGCTCGCTTTGGTATCAAAAATAGCTGAAATTCAGGGCTATTTTTTGATACCAAAAACGCATTTTTTGAAAGTACGAGCGCTTTGAAAAAAAAATGAAATACTAAAAAACTTTTGCGACTACGCGACTGTACGAGGGGAGTGGGGTACTATTACAGTATTTACGGTAGGAATTTGGTTGCGGATTACGGTCGCCGGGTCAAGCTTTAGAGCGTTTACCGTAAATACTTTTATAGAAGCCTCCATAAAGGACGTCGCGTAGTCGTAGTTTGCACTTAAAGAAGCGCTTTTATCTCGACATCAGTACGTTTGTTTTTGCGCGCTTGGGTATCAAATTAAAGTAGAGAGGATGGGGTTTTTTTTGAGATATAACACATATTTTTAGCATTAACTAGCGCTTAGAAAAGAATCATTGAAAAGTGGCAAAAAAAAAAAGCCGAAAAGCCGATTTTATCATTTTTAAAGAAAAGTTCAGGTTAGCGAGAGCATGTACAACCAGGGAAAGGGGAAGATCATGTCGATAAACGAGTTGGTCAAAATACGAAATCAGGTAAGACTTTTTATTTTATACTTTCAAACAAAATGTTTTCTAGGAACGAAACGACTATTGGCAACGCCTTTTAGCGAAACGACAAAACGGAAAAACGGCACCGAATCTTCTCGATCATTTCAATCAAGAGGGAAATAATACGGGTGATGTGCAAAAAGGTTTTTAAAAAGCTTTAAACCTCATAAAAGTGATCTTGATTTTAAGCGCTGAAACTTTTGGATGGTGGCGGAAAGAAAGGGAAAAACGAGTCAAAGTACCGGGATGTTGTGTGGAAATTCGAGGAAAGGGGTGAGCGTAAAGATTTTTCGGAAATTCTCTACACTTTCTCACTTTACTTTGGTCAATTTTATGGTTCTTTTTGCCTAATCACTGTTATCAGTCTAGTTTAAAGACTTTAACATCCACCAACCTCTATCAATATCATTTTAGGCAGTATGGGTGAGACTCTAATGGGCGTCGCTCTACTCACCACCACTCCCGCTCATCACTCGCTCGTCGTGCGTCTAGCCAACGAGTTCCCGAAACTCGTCAACGACTATTGTATCTCGGAAGATTATTACGGTAATTGAAATATTAAATATCATGATTTGATTTCTTTTTTCAGGAATGTCCCCACTCCATCAAGCGATCATCAACGAAGACTGTCACATGGCGCACATTTTACTCAAGAAAGGAGCCAATGTGCATACTAGGTTTGAATAAAGAAACGATTTATTTCAACATTTTTTTTTTGAAGATGTTATGGAGCATTTTTTTGTGCTGAGGATCAGCGGAGCCATCGCGGAGACATCCCCGACGAGGAGTCGGTTCAATTGCCCATTCGAACCAATTACACTGGGTAGGTTTGATTAGATTGATGGAAAAGAAATCGAGATTTACAGTCGAATGTACTTTGGTGAGTACCCATTGTCGTTTGCAGCCTGTATGAATGAGGAGGATTGCTTTCGATTGTTGATCGCTTACAAGGTTTATAAGCTTTATTTTTCGAGTGTACTTTCTGCTCCTTAGAAATTCGAAAACACACTTCATATCTAGTGCCTCAAAATTTCTAGCAACGATTACAGCTTGAATTACATAATGTTGTTTTAGGCCAATCCGAACAATCAGGATTGCAATGGGAACACCGTACTTCACATGTGCGTCATTCACGAGAATCTGGTGAGATTTTATCATGAGAAAAAGTCAAAATACTTCATTTAGTTTTTTAAATTTCATTTATTCAATTCCTTGATTCTTTCTCTAGAAAATGTTACGTCTTGCCGTCGACAAGGGAGCGAAACTCTCGATCGTCAATCGACAACAACTCTCCCCATTGACACTTGCAGCAAAGCTAGCGAAACGCGAGATGTTTGTCGAGATTTTGGGCATGGAAGCCGATGTCATTTGGTCGTATGCCGATGCATCACAGGTATTACATTCAAAAGAATAAAAATACTCTAAACTCTTTCTTTCTAGACCGCCTACCCGTTAGCCAAAATCGACACGATCAATGAAGAAAACGGGGGAACTCAATGAGCAAAGCGCGCTCTCTTTGATCGTTTATGGGGTCAGCTACCATTTATTAAAGATAAATTCAACAATGATCACTTGCAATACTTTTTCCAGGGGTCAACAGAGCACTTGGAGCTGCTCGACGGCCTCTTGGAAAGCATTATCGAAAGCAAATGGGCGGCTTATGGAAGGAAGAGGTTATTTGGAATAAATTTCCATACTAAAATCAAGCTTTTCTTTGATTTTTCAAAAAACAACAAAACTATTTGCGTTCGGGGGGAATCGAACCCCCGTCGAATGCTTGGAAGGCATCCATGCTAACCATTACACCACGAACGCACATCACCGTCTCTACAAGAAGCCCCCTAAAGACTCTCCCCTCGAATTTCCAGATGGATCATCTCGTTCTTGAGCTTTGTTGTTTACTATATTTTCTTCGTTGTTGCTTTCATTTTACGGCCCATCAGCATGACCACAGAGGTGAGAAAATCTATGAAAAAAAATTAAATGAGTCAATACAGAAAAGATATTTAGTTAACAGTAAATAAACCTGATTTTTCATCCCTTTTCCAGGCAATCACCAAACACAACATCTGCGAGTCGGGCTTGCCGAGTCAAAACACATCGTGGTGGACGAAACTCGATCCGGACGATAATTGGAATGAGAAATTCGATGAACTCGGCTTTGTGGTCGCTTTCAATGAAGGATGTCCGATCACGTTTCCTGGTGACAAATCGTGGTGTCATTTACGGGATTACAATAAAATGAGCTCGCGATATTTTGGATCCGGATGGGTGAGTGAGAAAGACAAGCAAATAGAGACAATAGAGTTGCTGCAACAAGTTTGTTTACGATTTTTGAAGCACAGCAAAGTACGCTCAACTAACTTTGCCTAGGCTCGACTCGGCTGTGAGGCTGTCGTTGTCGTTTGTGTCATCGCGCAAATCACCATGGATCTCATCGACATTCGCCGAATTGGACGACAAAAATGGATGGCACTTTTGGTAAACTGGCTTTATAAATCAATACTAACCAATCCACTTTTATAAGAGAGATGTGAGTCTGTCTGTTTGTCCGTCCGTTTGTCCGTCTGTTTGTCCGTCTGTCTGTTTGTCCGTCTGTCTGTTTGTCCGTCTGTTCAGCCCATATCTCACCAACGGTAGCTTGAACCCGATTAAAAATTTGGCATCAAACAATCAACTTTTTATTATCTTTAATATGGTTCATTTATTTTTTAATCCCTTCAGCCGTTTTTCTTGAAATTCAGAATTGTGACGTTTTGCGGTAGTTTTTCTTCAACACCCTGTATCTCTTTCCAGGAATAAGATTAAGAAAAGCTTTTTTTCGCAAAAAAGCCTAGTCTCTAGTTTAAAAAATAATTACATTTTTGAATTTTAAAAATCAAAAAAACTGAGCGCGAATCGAAGAAAAAAATGCTCTGTCGGGGTGGCCCCGAGTGATCTGAGGCGTCGGCTACCAATCGAGCGTTCGGAGACGGGCTCGATTCGTCTTGGCGCCAAATTTTTTGCATTTTTTAAAAAAGAGTTTCCATCATTTTAAAATTGTTATCATATCAGAGGTCGGGGCGTTGGCTAATCAAAGCCAACCTTAGATTAGCCAACGCCTAATGGCTTTGATTTATGTTTAAGAGATTCAAGTTAGGTAAAACCGCTGCTCAATTTCAGATTTTAGAAATCTTTCCCCGCCAAAATCATCTACAAGTTCTCCTTTCTGCTCATCCTGCTCGTGATCCCGGTGCGGTAGGTGTTTGAGTGTACTTTATGCTTTTAAAGCCGACCAAATACACACCCATCTGGCAGATTCGATTCTATTTTTGATCTACGTTAGACTAAATTGCATAATAAGCCAGAAAAGGTGTGTTTATGAGAGCATAAAGTACCCAGAGAACATTTCAGTACTCTGTGTTTTGTTGGTCCGGCAATGCTCGAGATCGACAACTACTTGTCGATCATCTCCGTTCTCTTCACCACTGTGCATTTTCTGTTTTATTGTCGGTGAGTGGAGTCGAGTTGCTTGAAATCCTCATTCACTTATTTCAGTGCCATCAAATTCATCGGTCCATTCGTCTTGATGATCTACACAATCATCAGGACGGACATCTTGCGTTTCGTCACCATTTACGTGATTTTCCTCTTCGGTTTCTCACAAGGTAAGTGTGCAATGATCACGTCACAAAAGCAAACCTAAAATTCAACTCTAATATCAATAATGATCAACTGTAAAGCTTTTTGAAAACCCTTTACCCATTTTCATTTCATTTTCAGCTTTCTACATCACATTCAACTCGTGCGAGAAGTACAAGAATCAACTGATCGCATCTGGCGCCTCAGAGAATGAGTCGGATTGGGTCGATCAAGATGGACGGTGAGAATTGTTCGTCTTGATCGAGCTAGAACTAGAATTCAGTCTTCACATGGGAATCGCCGATTTCGACAATATCCTCGCCTCACCCCAGGAGTCTTTTATTCGAACGTTCATCATGACAATCGGTGAATTCATGAGTCTCTATCGTGAGCTTGCCACTTGTCAAGATCCAGTGATGACCGTGATGGGAAAGGTTTATGAGTAAAGCTGCTAAAAATTTCTAAATCTCATTTTTCTAGCTGTGTTTCATCGTTTTCGAGTTGCTCGTCTTCGTACTTCTCTTCAATTTGCTCATCGCTTGCCTCACGCGCACCTACGAGACGATTTTCAACACGAGAAAAGAGTACAAGAGACAGGTAAATAGGCATAGCCTACACTGTAAAGGTCTATTAAGTAGTAGGCTTTTAGCTTGATTGCTCATTATCATTATCATTAAGTGGGCTCAAGTAATCCTCTCGCTGGAGATGTCCCTTTCACCGCAGGAACGTCTCATTCACCTCCTCAAATACTCACGTCCCATCGGCACAAACAAACAACGACGCAGCTATGTAATCAACAAAAAGCTAAATGTTGGAAGAAACGTTTAAAATTGTGATAAGCCATATTAGGAAGACAACATGGAGAGCTACGAGAAGCGGGCACAAGACGAAAAGTCCAAGTCGATCGCTGAAGAAAAACGCTTTTTACAGAAGAGGAAACTCAAGGTGAGCGAGGGCATTGTGTTAAGCTCGTATTAGCCAGGCTAGCTCGAGGATTTCCGTTTACAAATAAGCTAAAAAGACCGCTTTCTAGTTGTCTAATGCTAATAAATAGGTTTTTAATTTTCAAGATCTAACAGATTGATCGATTTTTGCAGGACCTCGAGCTACGAGAGGGTCTCCGCCCGTTAACAGCTCTTATCCGCCCTGTGACCTCATACCTTTCGGGTTTGGGTCGACCGAAAACGAAAGCGGTGAAATCACACGAGAACCCGATGATCACTGTCTATGCAAAGAGGGCAATAAATAGGACGAATAATAAATGAATCGGAGCGGTAAACGGGCTTTTTGAATTAAAAATGACTTTTACTAACCAGTTGTTAGCTAGCCTTATTGAGCCTGTGTGGCCGTTTTAAACAGTTTTTGTAAATATCGTACACAATAAATGTGTCTTGAATGTATTTTCATCATTTAACACTGAAACTTTAGATCTAAATATTGGCTTTATCAAATACCCGTAAAATGAATAACAATGAAGAGTAACAAAATGAAGATATACACAAAAATCTTTCACCACATATCCTCCAAATCGATCGGTTTCATTTCTTTCTTCTTGAAAACTGCGAAATCCTTCTCCGAGAAGACCGACTTGTCCTTTGGCGTTGTTCGTTTCTGAAAAGAAAAAAACTTAAAGGAAATTTTGGTAAGCAAATACATAGTTTATTTGCAGCTTTTGATAAGATAGTTTATTTAGTCTTTTCAGCTTTCTTGACTCATTAGACATTTTTTTCATTAGTAAACTCTTTCCCTTGCAAGCTACCTTTATTTCAAAGGTTTCAAATAAAATCACTTAGCCTAAATTTATATCCAATCTTGTTCATTGACCTCTTCTTCCATCTAAAAATATCACCTTAGAAAAACCCGAAAAATAATTTGTTCTTTCAAGTGTGGGGAAAGGCCGACAAGTTGTTTTGCTATTTTCTCAGTTTCTATGGGTGACGTCGTGGAATTCGTAGCGCTTCTACGAACAAACCAATAAAAATCTCAGAAAACAATCTCAAAGCTCAAAGTCAATAAATCTCGCCAACATGTTATTTTTATTTTCAAAGATGACCATTGACCATAAATTAGCTTACCCAAAGCAATATCCAGCTTGCGTTAGAAACACCTTATGCAAATAGAAAAATATCCGAATTAATCCCAAAACTCTAAAGTTATCTAAAACCAGGTAATTGTTGCATTCACCAAGCTGAAAAAAAGTAAGTTCAATTATGGACCTCCTACTTGACTTTTTGAGTTGTCAAGAACTCCAAAGAAACTCTGAAATGCCAAATTTGCAGCCCGGAAGTGCGTCACAACAATGCGTTTGTGCAGATGTGTGAAAAAACGCATAACCTAGTGAAAAGAAGTTTTTGAAATTTGGAGCACGCCTCTTCATTTTCTCTCTTTTATCTGTGGTGGGTCATTTTTTGGGTCCAAAAAGGTACAGCGTCCGGCTGCGAGCGGGTTCACGGGAAATTGGAGTGGGTTTCCGTGCAAATTGCAAACGAATGGAGCTAAATGGTTTTGCAAAAGTTTTCGGTGCAATCGCTTTAGATTTATCGCAAAAATTAGCCGAAAAACAAAAACTTGTTCTCATTTTGGCTAAGTGAGCTAAGACGGAGGTTCTTGTGTTCCCCACTCACCCTATTTTTAAAAGAGAAAGCGGATCACTTAACCCTACTTGACAACAAACAAGTCCACCCTCTCTATCTAAATTGAAATCGCACTTTTCGTCTCAAAGCGAGCTGGGAGACAAATCATTCCCCGTAACTAAAGAATTTGTTCCAAAAACATGGTTTAAAGTTTCTTTTAGAAAAAGTTTACAGATTCCTTAAATTTTTCGATTCACCTAGGTGTCAAGCCAAAAAGTGTGCCTTTTTGCAAGTTTCCTCTCATCGACGACCCGGGTCGGGGGCAAAAACGCGTAAATTTATGTCACCCGAGTGCGCAGGTGGAGGTAATCGACCGGTGTCGAAGAATTTCCTGTGGCCCACCCTCGAAAAGACCCCTCCAGCAAAATACATGTAAAATCCCTGGACACTTATAAGGACTTTAGCTGTGAGCTGCATGTAAAACCCAGAAAGATTGCACACAAAATACCCTGAACATTACACATTACGTCATCGAGTAAATAACCCAAGTTTTTCTTTCTTTGGATATGCGTGTCTTTGTGTGAAACATAGATGGTGACGTTTTTTTGGCGATGAAAATGGGAGAAATCCCATGGGAACGAAATTTAATATCAGGAAGTTGGCGTGAATGTCAAGAAATTTTCAAATCTCTCTTGATCTTTTGTCTTTTAGTGTCCCAATGTTTGTTCCCAATAATGGGTGAGACCAGAGGGCAAAATGAAACACTGTACTTCATAAACTTCAAAAATAATTGCAGAATTTACCTTCTTGGAATCAACTCAAATTTTTGTTGTTGAATGAGCGATTGAAAATCCCAAGAGAATGATTGAAAGACAATAGTTTCCATTAGAGAAACACTGTACTACATAAACTTCAAAAATAATTGCAGAATTTACCTTCTTCTCTCGTTGTCCCGTGATTTTCTCGCGTTCTTGTCGTGCGATCGCAGCCGCCGACTCCTTGGCCATCATCTGTTCGGCGAGATCAGCCTAAAAATTCAACATTGATTTGATTTACAACAATTTTCAAGCAAAACTCCCAAAACACTCACATTTTTCATCGCCCGTTTCTGCACGTGTCTCAAGTAGCGCAAGTTTCGTTCGGCCAAATCCGCAGGCTTGTTGTTTCGCGTCTGTTCGATGAGAGAATAGCCCTGATGCAAAACAAAATTAAGAAGTTAAGGTGCTTCCCTACTTCTCTTGCCACTCGATTCACGTTGATTCGACTCTTCGGCATCGGCTTGCCCAAGTAACTCTCATCATCGGGCAGTTCGACCTGAAAAATTTCATGATTAGCATCAAATAACTGTCACAGCAACAGCTAATCATTTTACCTATGTTTCAAACATTAATTAAAGAGTAATGTCCAACTATAACTTGAACATTACTGAGTTCAAAACCATTACTTGTCCCTTCCCAGCGGCTCTCAACACAACTTTTGTGTTCTGTCGTGCTCGTTCGGCGCCGGTCGTTTTTCGCTTGATCTTCTTTGTGACGCCCTCTTCTAAAATAAAACGCCAATGCTATTTTACTTGTTAATCGTTCAATCATTAACTGTTTTCCATTCGCAAGCAAACCACCTACTAACCAACTTGTCTATTAAATTTGTTTAAACCGTTAGCTAGTTGAACGACACGTATTTTACGCCAAAAACGATAACGAACCGGTCTCGATTTCGTTAATGAATTTGTCCAATAATCTTTGCGCGCTTCCCTGTCCGGCCATTCAAATTCCTGAAATCATAAACGAATTAACCTTTTACTTTTTCTTGTTTTTCTCAGAGCCCCTTATCCATACAACATGTGAGTTCCAGAACAGAACAGAAAACCACGCCCCCGTCAAAAAAAGGAGAGCACAAAGCTAGACGAGACCCCGTGGGAGAACATTTTCGAGGTTCGAGATTCCGTACCCAAAACGATAATGATTTCATGGAAGTTTCTATTCGTTGCTCTGGTTTTACTCATTCTTAACGTTGATGCTGTAAACATCATGCGTGGATTCATCTATAGACAACCACCGCAAACGCACTATGTTCGGAATCTCCGGTGAGTTCAAGAATTTCTATGAAAAGCACAGCTTAAACTTGTTATCAAAAGTAGGATTTGAAAAATGAATCATTTTAGTTTTGATGCTCCCTCTCAATTCACCGACTACGACAATCTGGATCTTCAATAGGAAATACTTTTTCTTGGTGAATAAACCGTGTAATTGAAGTACTTTATTTCGCAAAAGATAACAATATTTATTTTAAAAATAGCAACAAATTACACTTTTTTTTATTGTTGTTGAGCGTTCGGGCCTAAAAGAAACTTGATTAAGCTAATTGGATTGACAAAAGCTACCTCGCTTTCTGCCGGGTCCAGCGAGCGCTACGTTCACGAATCGGCGGTTGTATTGAATACGACGGTGAGCACGTCCTAAACAAAACGATATTAATGTCATCCTTACAACTTTTGAATCTTCCAAGTGATTTGCAAAATCACTCACCGACTTTCTTCTTCTTCTTTTCTTGCTTCTCAACCTTTGGTGTTTGGGCACGCACTTTACCGGCACGAGCAAGCGATCCGTGGACCTTACCTGAATAAAAAAAAATTATATGCGTGGTAAAGTTTGCACCGAATGTCATAGTAAAGCTTGATCAAAATTTAAGGAATGAGTCGAATTTACACTCTATGGCTTGGTAGCAAAATTTTCAGGGGTTTGCTCGAATTAGCTTGTTGACGTTGACAAAAACTTTTTTTTGTAACATCGAAACTCTCCCGATCCCTTTTTAGACAAAATGGGCATAGCCATTAAATTAACACCCTCTTAAAATACAGCGCCTCGTTTACGCCCTCACCTCCGAGCAATCGTCCATTGATGGCAAGTGTAGCTCCATTGTTCAACTCCAGCGTCGACATAGTTTGCTCATCCTCCAAAATTGTTGATCCGTGCGACAAGATTTGCTCGTTGGCTCCAAGACGGGCCTAAAAGTAAAACATAAATTGTTTGAAAACTAAAGCTTGCCATCAAATTAGAATCTTATCAGCCCTCCTTCTAGCAATAGATTTAAGTTATCCGTTGATCAAAACCAAGTAATCTTTTGATGATCAAAGGCTTGACCATAATTACATAAGGCAATTTAATAGTCCAATTAAAAATTGATTTAAAATAGTGTTTTATTACGATGCAAGCTTACCTACTTACCGCATCCCCACTATTTATCTTGATATCAATACCAAAGCATACCTTGATCTGAGCAACGGTGGTGTCAGCAGTCACATCGAGTCCTTGGACGGCTCCATCGAGCGCACTCACGAAGATCTGCATGCTTCCAAGCGAGGTTTTTCTGAAAAAGGAAAATTGATGTCAGCATCTAAGCAACGACAGAAAATTGAAAAAAATGGCATCAAAACGTACAAAAAGGTTAAAGTGCTATTAGTTTTACGGGATTTTGCAAGGAAAGCATCACTCATTCAGTAATGCAAGTAAAAACAAAGTAATGCCAGTTAATGAGCGGATGATTGACTGATCAACTCAAAGGATTTCAAAATTTTGCTCAAAATCTATCAATTTTCACGGAAACGCATCAAAATCAGACGAATTGGGCAGGAGAGCGCTACAAATTTGCAAACTTTATATAAAAAACCTTGAACGAGTGCTTTTTTGAATAAAAATCAACTAATTTCAAACTTTTTTTGATTAAAATCAACAAGTTTTTCACCGAAACGCTTCAAAACTAGACGAAATCAATGGGTAAATGGCTGCCTAACGCTAATAAACGCTCTAAACAGCAAAATTTGACAAAATCTCGCCTCAAACACATAAAAAGCAGTCTATTACGCAAAATCTTTCGGCAAATTGTGCAAATTTTTGGAAAAACTCGTCGCCGAAAGACGTGGTTACGGTAGAAAAGTGGTTGCGTCGCGAAAACGGCGGAGCGTAAGATAGAATTTCATTTTGTCACAAAAGTGAAGGTATTCAGCTAATGCGAGTGTGAATTTTCGATTTTTCACCGTTTTAAAGAATTTTTTCAATGATAACCGTTTTATTTCTCCATGAGTTCGATGACCAAACAAAAAAAAGACAAAAAAATGACGATAAATGAGGGAAATTGCACAAAAAATGGCGATTTGGTGTTTTAAACAAATTTTTTTTTTTTTGCTTTAATTTTGCTTACAGCTTTGCTTTGCTTTTATGTCTAAGACCTTTGTTATAATATATCAAAAAAGTACTGTAGACATTTAGGGATTTTGAAGGGTAATCGTTTTTCTAAAGCAAGCAAGCTAACTTTAAGATTTACAATCATTTTCATAAAAAATTTTTTAAACAGCTTGTCGAAAAGCTATACAAGTAACAAGTCCTTTCGTCGTTTCACAGTATAAATTTGATGAGAAAACGTAAGAGAAATGCCCCCGACTGCACACAACATCAACATTTCCCCCAAATTTCTCTTCAGCCGCCGTGTTGATCTTCCGTTTTGAATCTGATGAGTTGTCGGAAATGTTCTGGAAATGAAAATGAAAATGATGCTACTGTATACTAGAGCAATTAAACATCAAGCACAGATCAAGTACGCCAGAAAGGATGTGCCGTTGAGCCAAATTACAATCACATTTGTCTATGATGATTGCACTTTCTACTATCGAACTCAAAAACGCACCCCGCCTGGCGCACTGAAGAGTACTAAACCTCTTCCACCTCTTCTCACCTCTTCCATCAACTTCTTTAACACTTGACTGTTACATTTAGGCAGTTCAGCGCCGCTTTGCGATTGCTTCGAAGCTTCGGTCTAAACGATAGTTTGAATTGTTTTTCTCACACATCCAAAATTAGATCCAGATATCTTGAATACTCTTGATTTGAATGTCTTAACTTTGCCCTTATCTTGAATACTCTTGATTTGAATGTCTTAACTTTTCCCCAAACCTGTCTCTTTGTCACTTGTGGATCCTCCTCTTCAGGTACTTCTCTGACCGTAATTTGTGGAGCGCGTCGAATGTCGGCTTTTCTCAAACCGTGCGTTAAATCAAGATCCTCTTCAACCTAAATATTTAAGCTAAAAAAAATATTTTGATTGAATTCTTTTGATTCTTCTTTGATTACCATTTTCTCAATTTCGACATCATCTCCCAAATGTTCGAAGACTTTCAATTGTTGAGAGTTTTCGATTGCTTGATGGGTTGACCGAGTCGAAGACCCGATGCAAAGGCTCTCTAAAAGGCATACTGTTTTGCATACTGTGATCTACAAATCTACACTCACCATCTCCAACTCATCAATCGGTTGATGGAAACGCTGTTGTTGTGGAGAAGTGTACTGTTGCTGCTGTTGATTGAGTTGATATTGATACGATGAATAATTTGGATAAGGATTTACTGCTTTAGACATTTCATAACCACCCATGCAACCATGTGGAGATGGGCAAAGGATCTAAAAAATGATTGAAGAATTAAGTGCACTAAAATGGAGATGTTTGCAAAAAGAACACAAACCAATAACTCACCATTGGGCATGTTCTGGCAGTAACTGACTGGCAAGCGTATTGTGGACAATCACATGTGTGCCCCGGAATATATAAAGAAGCATGTAGTTGTAGAATAAGAAAAGCTGCAGAAAGTAGTTTTCAACCACATGATGAATCTAAAACTGTAATCTTGACAAGAGTTGGTAATAAAGTCAATCAAAAAAAGAGTTGATTTAATTTCAATTTTAAACAATATTGAGACAATTAAACAATACAATAAACAACAATACAATAAACAACAATACAAACAACAATACAAACAACAATACAAACAACAATACAAACAACAATACAAACAACAATACAAACAACAATACAAACAACAATACAAACAACAACAACAATTTAACAACAACAATTTAACAATATTTCTCATACAACAGTATGAGAAATCGAAGATGTAAGCAGTATTTTAACGGAATTTGATTGAAAATCATTTGAAAAAACGGTGAAAACAGCATTCTTAGAGGGATAATTAGTGAGAAAAGAGCTAGAAAGACTCATTTTTTCTTTTTCTTTTTGGGTAGTGAATTGAGAACTGGACTAGATATCTAGATATTGTGTGAGTGAAGTGAACGAATGACACTTTCACCATCCTTTCAAACCACTCCCAATTCTTCCCCCACATCGGTTTCCGCCTTTTTATGGACTCATTACACGGTGAGGTAACAATCAAAATTACTGAAACTTGAATAGGAAAGATAATATGTTGTTTAAATGTTGTTTAAAATCTAAAAAAACTATTCTTTTACTTGTACTACACACAAAGAATTTAAAGCGGAATAAAAAGAATAAAAAGAATAAAAAGAATAAAAAGAATAATAAGAATTCATTTCATTCATTCATGAAATGAATTTAGCTAAATAATGATTTCCAATAAGATTTCCAATAAGATTTTCAAATTTCTTAATAGCTCAAGATTTCAAAAGATTCTAAAATCCGGTTATAAAAAATGGTGAAACGCTAAAAATCAGATATCAAAATAATGAGGATCAGGGAAGAGAGATTGGAAAAAAGAAAAGACAAAAACCGGGATTTGTCTTGAAAGAAAGAAAGAAAGAAAGAAAGAAAGAAAAGAGATGAAAAGAGATGAGCTCGTTTTTGTTGATGAATCGCTTTGTCTCAAATATTTTACATCTACAATAAAAGAGACTTTTAGCTATGTGAAAAAGGATCGAAAGATGAGAATAAAATGAAGAATGAATGAAATTTCATCTTTCATCATACAATATCCAATTAAAGTTAAAAGCTAGATAAGCTTTAAAGCAGCTTTAAAGAAGCTTTAAACCTTTAAACCTTTAAAGCTGCTTTAAAGGCGCTTTAAAGAAGCTTTAAAGGTTTAAATCCATTCAAATTTCACCTCATTCTCATTAAAATCAAATTTTCGTCTCCTCTAGTAACATAGGGATTCTTCTTTTGCTCATACAATTCGAGCAATGATTTTATTGAGTTTCGAATAAAGAAAAGCGGATAAAAAGCTTGAATTCTCCTCAAAACTTCTCAAAAAGCAACCAGACTCTCGATTTTTTTGACTCAAGAGTCTCTTCTTTCAAGTTTTCCCTTCAACTTTCTCTCTTTTCATCAACATTCAGCATTTTCAACTTTAGGAATCTTGCTTGTTTAGGATTAAAACTCGCTTGTAACCAAATTTCAAAGTATAAAAGAATTTGGTAGAGTCAGTATGCTAAAAAGAGACCGCAGCTATCTATAAAATAGTCTTGACAGAGTCTTGGCAGAGTCAGTATGCTAAAAAGAGACCGCAGCTATCTATAAAATAGTCTTGGCAGAGTCTTGGCAGAGTCAGTATGCTAAAAAGAGACCGCAACCATCTATAAAATATTAGGTTGAAAAGAAAGTTCTCAGAAAAAGTTTGACTGGAATCTCTTAAAAAGCGAATGCACTAATTGAAGAACATTTTCTTCTATTATTTTAAAAGTCGACTCCAAGAAATTACTCGTAAAAAAAATCGTACAGCTTTCCCTATAAAATTTTAGAGATTTTTGAACAAATGATTCTTTTCCATCTTAAATTGATCTCACTTTTTGCACGAGAAAAAAAAAACGATTTCTTATGAAATAAAGCTAGCATAAATTTAGCAACACGCCGCTCTATAATCTCTTTTACAGAGAACATGCAGAGAACAATGAAAAAAAATCATTTTTTAATGTCATCTTCTTTGGCACTGAGTGTTTACTAAAATAGATGATTCAAAAAAGTCAAAAGATTAGATCAAAATTTGCCTTAATCCATAAAGTTTCCCCTATTTTAAGTAATTGATTTTAGGTTTTTGAATGGAACAAATTGACTTATTCATTAACCTATTAAACACCTTGTCTAAAGGCTCACTCGTAAGGCTGCTCACTCGAAAAGTCATTCAAATCAAGTCATTCAAATCACTTCAGCTAAAGAAATCTCTTATTTTCTTTTTGTCAAAAGTTGGAAAGCTCAAAAAAAAAAGCTGGAAAGAATTTGATGGATTGGTTTTTGAGAAATCAAACAGCAAACTTTTTCTATGAACTTTCTTGTCAAACCTAATAAAAATTGAGATTTGATTGGATCATTTCATTCAAATTCATAACAATAAACTTTTAATCCAAAGCTTCTTGATCTTCTTCAAACTTCAGAAAAACCTTTAAAACCACAGATCTCAAGCTCATTGAAGTCCTTTCAATCTAGCAAAATTTTAAGTACCCTCTTTCAGAGTGACATTAGTAGTTTGGTGGATTGTTTGACAGGGGATTTCAAGAGTTGTGCTTTCAAACTTTGCTTTCAAACTCCAACTTGACATCCACGATGAGCGATTCGAGGGTTTTCAAGAAGGGATTTGAACATGCCAGTCCCTCACCCCCAAACACATAGCTGACCGGTTTAACCGTAAGTGGCTCGATGAATAGCCCAAAAAAAGAAACTCATCCACGGCAAATCCTGAAGTGTAAAGGTAGCCTCTTGCGCGTGCATTTTGTACTCCTTTCCCTCAATTTTCCAACCACCGGCACTATTGACTTTTGAGAGAGATTTGCATATTGTAAACTGCATATTGCAAAACTTTGCATTTATCTATTCTAAACCTGTTATTTGTTTTTTGTTTTTTATATCTTTTTAATTCAATTTTAGATTTTTCAAAGCTATGTGAACACTCAAAAAAAAAAAAAAATGCTTCAGTGTCAGGATTTTGGGTAAAAAGGTTTCCTGGTTTAAATATGAAAGATTTAGAATCGTGCTTGCGATTTTATTGTTTCAAATCGATTTTGTGAATGCTTGCATCAATTTGAGCAGTCTGATGGGTGGCGGGGCACGGGGAGGAGGTGGTTGTGGATGGTAAGTTCATCGATTTTCGATACAACATTCTTTCTAAACATTTATTTCGAAAGAAACCCGGTTCTGGTCTATCTTCTTTGCTAACTTATCAAATAGAGTAGTATTTTAGCTCAAGTAGTAGCAGTGCTCCATCACCGTCGTGTGGAGGCTCAAATGGAGGCTCGAGTGGTGGGTATGCAGTGCCGCCACCTCCACCACCTCCACCACTCCCATCACCCACCTCGTACGCTGGTGTCCCGCCAGCCGACTACAAATCAGTGCCAGCACAAGGAAACTATTTAAAGTATGATTTCATTTCAACACTAAGAAATCTCTTTTCTAGTAGACCACCTGAGCCTGGCTCCTATGTGGCTCACGATTTCTCCTCACCCATCCAACAGATCACTCACCAAATCGTTCAGAACATACCGGCGAGTAAACGTATGATGTTTTACTTACAATTTACAAGTAGTATGCTAGAAAGGGTGCGTTTTCAAATGAAACTTTGTGCAAACTCTTGATTACTTTTAGCTTTCCCCCGCCACCTCCATTCTCCCCACCAACGATCGCGTCAAATACCGGCCAATATCAACAACCGCAACAGCCACCTCCATTTCAACCACCTCAACCACCCCAACCACCCCAACCTCCTCCGCAAATCCACGAAACGATTCACTACCCGGCTCAGCAACCCGTAGTAAGTTAAGACTTTAAAGTTTTCAGTACTTTCAGTTTTATAATCGATTTTAGAAAACTTTCCAAACACCGGCTCAAGTAATGCCCTCTGGCTACGATCAGGAGGAAAATGATGAGCTAGAGGAGGTGATCAATGCAGTGGATAAAGGATATCAAATGGTTTATTGCATAAGCTACCATCACCGTAATCCTATCATATCTAGGGCTCATCCCAGCCTCATCTCCAACCCCACCCCGCACACCGTCACCCCCAACAGCATCCACTGGCTACTATTCATCAGTGCGCAACTCAGTGCCTCGGGAACAACGTATTAAATCGTACAAGGCCTCTGTGCAGGTTGTTTAAAGAGAAGAAAATTATAATTATTATAATTGATAAGCTTTTAGGTAAAAACTTCTCACTATCATATGCCTGTGGAGCAGGGAGCTGATTTGGCTGAGTATGAAGGTGAGTATGAAGGTATGAAAAGAAAGCTTTCTCTCAAAACGAACTTTAGAACCAGATGAGGCAGTTGAGGCAGTTGAGTTAATCAATGAACCTCAAGAGAAACCTGTGAAGCAAATTTTCTCACAAGCTGGATATGATGAGTGCGTTCATTTCTTCTTTATAAATAACTTTTCGATTTCAGAGAACCCGATGTGGCTGTGAAAATGGAGCTGGTAAAAGAGCAAGAGGCGATCGATCAATCAATGAACCATCTCGATCAAATGCGGTAAGTTTGATTCAAAAAGTGAAAAAAAAGGGAATTTCTTTACAGCTTTTCGATAAAGTATTTGAATTTGAATTTAATTTAATTAGAAATTCTAATTAGAAATCCTCTTTTCAGTGAAAGCGATTACGATCTGGAGGAAGAGCTCTCAAAGTATGAGACATCACCTCGTATTCTTCCACATAAACCTTTCCCCACTCCTCCATCAGTTTCCCGATCTTTTTCATCATCAATCAATCCTCCTCTTCCCAGTATTCTTCCTCATCCAATTCTACGAAAATTCGAAAAAGTTTGTCCTTTTATCTAATAAGCTAAAATTGTACTGTAGTAGTAACTTAGTTTACAGCTTTTTAGATGAGTTTTTAGACTTATTGACTGTAGAATGACTCAAATAGACTGTAGAATGACTCAAATTGACTGTAGAATGACTCAAATAGACTGTAGAATGACTCAAATAGACTGTAGAATGACTCAAATAGACTGTAGAATGACTCAAATCAGACTTATTGACTGTAGAATGACTGAAATAGACTGTAGAATGACTGTAGAATGAAATCAACCCATAAAACAACCCTTTCTATAGCTCGATATCCAATTTTTTCAGGTAGATATCTACACTGGCCCCATTGAGACAACAACCATCTCAATCAGTACAACCATCACAACCACCGTTGTACCCCCATGGAAACCAACAGGCTCCAGAACCACCGAATCCATCACCCCACCGCCAATTCTCGTCGACCCATTCGTGAAGCACTCGTTTACTGATAGCTCTACTCTTTCCACTAAAGCAACAATGAATGAAGAACCATCAACAGTAGTCATCGAACCGTCTACTATAGCTACCGTACACCAACCAGACCTAACAAAACCTGAGTATGATCAACAATCGTTACTACCTACTGTAGGTATTGTGCCACCGCTGGACCCAAATAAACCAGAATATGACCCGTATCAACCGTTTAATCCAACGAATTTTGACGCAGAAACAGGGGATTCAGGATTCGATGTAAACTTTCCGCCACAATCCTTTGAACATTCGGAATTGGAGGAATTCGCAGCGGTGACTTCAAAAGCTTTCGAGCCATCACATCCCGGGTTTGGGCCTCGAGATTATCCTTTATATCCGAACGATTTTTCTAAAAATGATCTTGGATATAAGTTTTTGAAAGATTCAGTGACGAAAAAACCAGAAAATGATGAGGAAACGAATCTCACGTATCGAGAAGCATTGATAAAGAAATTCTCGAAAAATTTAGGAAAAAAGCGAAACTCAAGAATGTACAAATATACCCCACCGAAAGTGAATCTTCGAGAGAAAAAGTGGAAAGGAAAAGGCACATTGAAGAGGTTTATGGAGGAGAAATTCTGATTTCAACAAGCTTATTTAACAGCTGGCATTGCTGGCAGATAGGCATTGCTTTTGAGTTGAGTTTTTAGCTTTCTATTGTACATTTAATCTAGACTAACCACCAAGAATCGAGCTTGAGCTTAAGTTGACAGTTGACAGTTGACAGTTGGCAGTTGACAGTTGACAGTTGGCTGTTGACAGTTGACAGTTGACAGTTGACAGTTGACAGTTGACAGTTGACAGTTGGCAGTTGACAGTTGACAGTTGACAGTTGACAGTTGACAGTTGACAGTTGGCTGTTGAGCTGCTTTCGATGTGCTTTATTGATAGGAAATTGATCTAATTTTCTTTACAGTAAAGTAATCTCGTCTTTATTTCATTCTAAGATGTCGCTAAGCAGACTTTTATTGTACTTAGTGTGATTGTTTGTTTGTTTCACATGTCTATAGGAATTCTTTTCTTTTAGACGGGTTCGTCGCTTGATTTTATTCACAACTATCATTATACTTATTAAAAATAAAAGATATATTGAAACTTTATTCAAAAATCCTCCATTTCTTTGCCAATTTTCGCAATTTTCTCTTTAATTTGAGCTTTTTAAGAAGCGCTTGTCGATGGCGTTCTCTTGAATCACCTGCAATTTGAAATATATTAATTTGATGTCTATTTCTATTAATTTAAATCTATTGCTATTAATTTGTAGTCTATTAATATTAATTAGAAGTCTTGAAGTCTATTACCATTAATTTGAAGTCTATTTCTATTAATTTGAAGCCTATTACTCTTAATTTGAAGTCTATTATCATTAATTTAAATCTATTACTATGAATTTGATGTCTATTAATATTAATTTGAAGTCTATTCCTATTAATTTGAAGCCTATTACTATTAATTTGAAATCTATTACTATTATCTAATACTTTCTAAGAATTTGATGATTTTGGAAACTTTTTGATAGATAAAATACAAATTTGAAGAGAAAAAAATGATTAAAGTTACCACAACTACTTACTTACCACAACCTCCAGCAGCTCCAACTGATCTGCCACCACCACCACTACCACCACCACCACCACCGCATCCACCCGAACCACACCCACCTAGGATTTTGAGAATTTTGATAATTGACTGATAATTGATAAACATTGCTATGTAAAGCTCCTATGAAATGTGCTTATCCACCTCCACACCCACTCTTGCCCATTCCACAAGACTCCGGTGCACCACAACAACATGGATATGATGCAAAAACGGGTGCTGGCTCAACTCCATTACAACCTAGAAAATAGCATTTTTTAAAGCACTTCATCCGTCCACAAATGTCCACAAATACAAGAAAAAAACGCCTCAAAAGTAAAACAAATATTGTAACTAAAAGAGAGAATTATATAATTTTTTTTTTAAAATTACCCTCAGCTGCGCACGGTGGACTTGGCTCGGGCAATGGTGGTGGCATGAAAGGAGGCGCTGTTGGGGGTGGATTACTGGAAAAATTTGATTGATTCTGAAATTTCAGAAATTTCCTTTTATACCATTGCATTGCTGAGAAGAGACATTGCTGGAGGGAATTCTCGAGGAAACACGAGAGAATTATCAAGAGAATCGGGAGAAACATAAGGAATAGTAGGAAAATTTGATGAATTTGATGAATTAAATGCAATAGTTTAACTCGATTAGATATTAGATTTGAATAGAAATATGGGAAATTGTTTATCTAAAGCTTAGCTAAAGCCAATGAAGTGACACTGACCTTGTGAGGAGCTTGTCTTTGAGAAAAAGTGAAAGCAATATCAATCCATTTCTCTTTTTTTCTTATGATGTTTATTTAGTGAAAGTGTTTTTTCTTTGTTTTTCTTTGCTTTTACAAGCATTTTGATTTGAATAGAAATATGGGAAATCGTTTATCTGATGCTTAGCTAAAGCCAATGAAGTGACACTGACCTTGTGAGGAGCTCTGATTAAAACTAACTTTGCTTTGATTAAAAGTAAAGACTTTGAATCGACTTTCATGTACAAACAAACTCGTAGCATTGTTTTTCTTTTTATTTATTTCTTTTTATTCTATCTAACAATGATGATGATGATGATGATAATTATTCTTTTATTTTATCATTTCATAAGGCATTTTAATTACAGGGTGCGGCCAAAATATCCGGCTGAACGTACTTTTTGCCATAATACTGCGAAAACTCATTTATTCACGCTTCTTTTTATGTTTATGCATTTTTTTATTCTTTTTTATATGTTTCAATTATTTTTTTGATAAATAAGTGATTTTTTTGATAAATAAGTGAAACAAAGACTTAAGAAATGCAAAGTTTTGTTGCGGCGTTTGAAGGGTGGCACGCATCGGAGGGTTCTCTGGTCGGATGAAGCGCCATTCACAATTGAGCAGGAATCCAACAAGCAAAATAATCGGATTCTAACAAAAGATGTTGCCACGGCAAATTCTCAGGGAAGAATTGTCCAAAAATCGGCTCATCCAAAATCGTTGATGGTTTGGGCCGGGGTGACCGCTGATGGAAAAACACCTCTTGTTTTTGTGCAGCCAGGTGTGAAAATTGATCAAAATTACTACGAAAAAGAAATTTTGATGAGGCATATGAAGCCTTGGGCTGATAATCACTTTTCTGGAGCACCTTGGATCTTTCAACAAGATTCTGCACCAGCACATCGTGCAAAAAAGACCATGGAGTGGTTTGCCAAGCAAAACGTGGATTTCATTACCCCGGAAGAATGGCCTGCAAATTCACCTGACATCAATCCTATGGATTTCGCCATATGGGGGAATCTTGAAGGCAAAGGTCTCATCAGCTCCACATGCTAATTTGGATGATCTGAAAGCCACCCTTATCAAGGAATGGGCAAAAATCCCCGTTGAGACTCTCCGTGCCGCGGTCGACGATATGCCGAAGCGACTTAGGGCTTGCATGAAGGAAAAAGGAGGAAACTTTGAGATTTAACTGTTTTTATTTTGTTATTTGGACTGTTGTTGTTATTTTCAGTAAAATTCTATAAAGCTTTTCTGCTAATTTTCTGAAGACCAGTCGGTCTTTTCATCGCCGGATATTTTGGCCGCACTCCCTTTAAACCCATATTTCTCTCAGTATTGGACTATTCATTGTACCCTATATTAATTGGGGTCCAAAAGGAGGTTGAAAAATAGTGTAGTGCACCCTCAAAAATTTGCATTTATTGTTCCCCCTTTTTCATCTCAACCTTTTTGACTGAATATCTTTTATGTTTATGTTGCATTCTAAGCTATTAAACCAACCAAGAAGCGGGCGGTTTTTTTTATTCAAATTTTTAAAATTTTTCCCATGAAAAAGTTAGCAAAAAACTAAAATTGTTGTGCAAAGTGCCAAAACATCTTTTTGTTGTTTCTACACGTTGTTTTAGTGGTACATTAACTCAAATTTTCTTACGAATTCCGCGCAAAGCTATAGTCATTTTTTGCTCTTACATACCTGTATAAAGTTTGAGATTGACTTACCTTTTGTGGCGCTTAACTTTATTGTTATCAAAGCTCAATCCTAGAAAATAATCCATCATGTTCGATTTTAATATTATTTATTAATTTTTTTTTTTACAATTGTCCAAATAATATTTTCAAATAGTTTTTTTTTTTAGGGAGGGTTTTCGGAGGGGGTGTTTGGTGGGTTTTGGGGGGTTCGTGGGGGTTTTCAAGGATGGATCCCAAAATCAGCAACCCGGCAGCTGCGCGAACATATTCAATGATGTTGCCGAGGGGTTTTCGTGTGAATCGGATGCACCATCCGCGAAAAAGCGACGATGTTTCGTCGTTCAAAAAAAGCTGAAAATTTAAAAATAAAGGAATAAGTTTTTAAAAAATTTTGAAAAAAAAAAAAAAAAAATATTAAAAAAACAAAAAAAAAAAATAAAGAAACAAAAAAAAAATAAAGGAAAAGGAAAAAAAACGATCTCCATTTCAAGCATCTCCAGTTAATAGATATTACAATAACTCGTTATCTAATGACCTCTCTGATCTCCATCTCAGCTCATCTCCATCTCAGCTCATCTCCATCTCAGCTCATCTCCATCTACCTCCCCCCCCCCCCCCCCCCCCCCCCCCCCCCTCCCCCCCCCCCCCCCCCCCCCCCCCCCCCCCCCCCCCCCCCCCCCCCCCCCCCCCCCCCCCCCCCCCCCCCCCCCCCCTCCCCCCCCCCCCCCCCCCCCCCCCCCCCCCCCCCCCCCTTCCCCCCCCCCCCCCCTCCCCCCCCCTCCCCCCCCCCCCCCCCCCCCCCCCCCCCCCCCCCCCCCCCCCCCCCCCCCCCCCCCCCCCCCCCCCCCCCCCCCCCCCCCCCCCCCCCCCCCCCCCCCCCCCCCCCCCCCCCCCCCCCCCCCCCCCCCCCCCCCCCCCCCCCCCCCCCCCCCCCCCCCCCCTCCCCCCCCCCCCCCCCCCCCCCCCCCCCCCTCCCAGCTCATCTCCATTCCAGCTCATCTCCATCTCAGCTCATCTCCATTCCAGCTCATCTCCATCTCAGCTCATCTCCATTCCAGCTCATCTCCATCTCAGCTCATCTCCATTCCAGCTCATCTCCATTCCAGCTCTCCCCCCCATCCACAGCTCATCCCCATCCCCTCTCCCATCTCCATTCCAGCTCATCTCCATTCCAGCTCATCTCCATTCCAGCTCATCTCCATTCCAGCTCATCTCGACCAATCCCCTTTCACCCTAAACGATTTCGAGAGGAAAAATTGTGAGTAATGAATTCGAATTCGAATCTTTTATCTTTCAAAGAACTCTCATCTGCACAATCACACAAAGAAAAAGAAAAACATTCGAATAAATCAAAAATTTCATTTATATTTCGAGATTTTCCACAAATTCGATCCATTCTTCATGAATGTTTGGCTTTTCGAAGGAAAAACTCCGATAATCCGACTCATAGCTCGCTAAAATATAAGCCAAAGTATGAGGATTTCCTAAAATTTCCTTTCTCCAAATCTCGTATTGTGTATGATTTCGATTGGGATTCGTTTCACCGTTTAGCAAACGCTCGAGAGCCTGAAATCATTGAGTTTTCACAAACAAGCAACAACACTATCAACTTTTAAACTCTTTAAACTCTTTAAAACGTCTCTTTCAACGTCTAAAGCTCATACTACAAATGGAAAATACTTGAAAATGAAAATAAGAATCTTATGATCTTTAAAATCTAAAATTTCATGTCTTTTTTTTTTCAAAAGAAAAATAAAGCTATTATTTACGAAGCTAATTAGTCTGATTTTTACCAGAAAGAAAGATAAATCTCTGTTCTTCATTCCACTTTTTAGCGCTTTTGAAAAGCTTTTGTTTTGGCAATTTTTCAAAGATTCAAAGAGAAGTAGTCTAAATTGTTAAATTGTTAAAAAGCAAAACTCGCTGAGAACTATGTTATTTGTAAAATCGATTTGAAATTAAAGAGAAGTAGTCAGAGATTCAAAGAGAAATAATCAAAATTGTTAAAAATCGTTTAATTATCAACTTTTCCAATGAAAAATTAGCATTAATTTTGTTTTTTTTTTCCTCAATCGCGACTTATCGAAGCATATACATGTCGTAACCGTTTAACCAAATAAAGCATATATATGTCGTAACCGTTTACGAAATTTAGCCACTAACGAATGATTCGTTGACGGCTAGTGTTCAACCTATATCTATATTTATATTAATGGTTTTTAGATGAATAAATCATTTATATTAATGACTTAATGGCATTTGTTCAATCTATGCAAAAAGATTTGTTCAAAAGTTCGAGAAAAAAGAAAATTTAAAATCGATTTTACGAATAACGTAGCTTGCAAAAGTTTACATAATACACAATAAATACAAATAATGTCAGCGAGTTTCGCCTTTTAACAATTTAACAATTTAACAATTTTGATTATTTCTCTTTGAATCCCTGAACAATTGCCAAAACAATTGCCAAAACAAAAGCTTTGCAAAAAAAGCTGAAAAGTGGAATGAATCTTTCTCTCTGGAAAAAATTAGACTTATTTTAATAGCTTCTTTTATCTCATAAAAAAACTTGATATAAGTGATATATACTTGAAAAGTTAAACAATATCATTTAAAGGTAGGTTTTCATTCCAAAAAAACAAGCATACCGGATTCTCTCTGATAGTATCTAATGATTCTCCTAAATTCCTCGAAATCTCGAGAACCGCTTATCAGAACCTATCGATGTGGGGTCGGAAAATGTGGCTGACGATGAGATCTTGTCGGGGATTTGAGTGTTGGACTTCTGGGAGAGTTTGGGAACCGCCAAATAGTGATCAACTCGGCTCGACCACTACTATTAGAGAGAAGACGGTCATTTTGACCTTAGTAACATTGTCTTTTCCAATTCAACTAACTCGTTTCGAGTACTCGATCGGAATGCCGGCTTGATCGAAAATCTTCTGCATTTGTGCCATATTTAATAAACGATTCGGCGAATAATAAACGACTTCATAGAGATCTCGATTCAAACCGATATCACAATACCTAAAGTTTCAAAAGTTCTTTTTTCCTTTTTAAAGATTTAAAAACAAAACCCTCACCAAGTATGTGGCTCAAAATGGTGTTTAAATTGATTCAAATCATTTAATCCAATCGGTTCCCTCTCATACATCAACATCTCGTAGACAAGTTGTGCTGTCACGTGAATTGAATCCGTTCCCTGGCCGCAATTCTTGTACAAGCTGGAAACTCTTTTTGGGTAACAATAATTTGTTTTTTTTTCTTTTTTTCAATTTCCACATTTCTGTGCTATTTTTTTTCTCGAACTCACCCACAAACATAGCCAAACATTGACGTGAAACGATCGATCGGATCACGAACAACAATGAAATGAGTGGGCTCGCCCATTGAATCATCCCATTCATCATTCATTTCGTCAATCCAATCAAACCAAAGATGATTTTCGCAGAATCTATTTACTTCAAGCTTACAAAATTCAAAATAAAGAAAATAAACTGCTTTTTAATAGCATTCATCTTTGTTTATCTACTGTTTTAGTAAAACAATAGTTTAAAAAGATTTAGAGTTTGTAGATCTAGTAGTACAATAGCTGAACAAGATCTAGAGTTTAGAGATCTAGTAGAACAATAGCTGAACAAGATTTAGAGTTTGTAGATCTAGTAGAACAATAGCTGAACAAGATTTAGAATAAAACTTCCAATGAAAATTAGCTATCAATTTGGAAAGAGATGTTGTTTTCTAGCTGTAAATGATCAAATCTTTTGACTGACTCATGAAATAGTTGATCATCTTGATGATTGTACGGTTTTCCAAGTTTCTTCCAAATGAGCGTTAACTCGCAAAGGATCTAAAAATGACGATTGACAGAAATTTAATCAAAAAACGTTTACCTGTTTCGTCATCCTTGACATATTTTTCGGGATTGATGCAAAGTGTAATTTGCCAACAATCTGTTGAAAATGAATATGTGGAAAAAAGAAAGATAAATAAAAGATAAAGATAAAAGATAGAAAGATAAAAGATAGAAAGATAGAAAGATAAACTTGCCAAGTATGAGCAATATGGATCACTTTTAATTGGCACCGGTTGAAGATCTGATTGATCATTGATAAAACTAAAATGGTAATGTTTAACGTCTCCATTTCCTCTTTTCTCAAGACAAATCAATCTCTAGAGAAATTCAATGCACTAGAATATCTTCGTTTACAGAGTTTTAAACATAAAGTACAAAAAGTACAAAAAGTACAAATGTTTACCGTTTAATCAAGTAAACGATTGGTGTCAAGGTGAAAATGATGAGAAATATCATCAATAGCAATGAGCGATACATTTTAGATTAGAAATCAATTCAAATTTCTCCTAGAAATCGAGATTTTAGAGATAGATTTTCGATAATAAACAATCTGGTCATCTTTTTAATATATCTATTATTCAAATGTTGTTATTTTTTTAAAACATTTTCCATCAAAACATTCATCTAGTTCAACTTTAAAGTTTGATCGGTTATTTTTGAATAAACAACATTATAAATCAAGCTCATTTTTTCCGCATAACAAAGCTAGAAGTTAAGCTAGATGCTAAGCTAGAAGCTAAGCTAGAAGCTAAGCTAGAAGCTAAGCCAAAAGCTAAGCTAGAAGCCAAGCCAAAAGCTAATCCAGAAGCTAATCCAGAAACTAAGCTTTTGAGTCAGTCTTAATCACAAAAGTACTCAAGAAACCACTTTTAACATTGATCTAACTAATTCAAAACCATGCACAGATCTGTTTTTATTAAATTTCCCTTTTTAATGTTGAAACTAGAATTTGAAATTGTAAATTCATCATTGTTCTAGCTATTGTAGATGAAATTAGACTATTTGTTCTTATTTTGACTAGCACCTTGGGCAGGAAACATCTTGAAACAATCGAAGAGTGTTCTTCGCTTGCTCTGCTCAACTCTTTGTGATCTAGATCTCTTTCTTGTGCTTTTCCTTTCCCTCTTGCTCATCCCCCATCCATTCTTTCTTCAATAGCTAGACCCCTCAGCTGCTGTAATCTGGGGAGGGGTGTCCCTCTCTCCATCATCCGATCCCCCACTCTTTCCCCCACTCGATTTCCTTCGTGTGTCCCACCTATCTCCTTGAGGATATATTTAGTAAATAAAGACTTTTTTACTATTCTTTTGTTAATCCTTAAAAACTTAAAAACTATTTGATTTTTAATAGTGTAGCTAATTGTTTTTGTAGAACGATGCCACCCGATGGCGATGTACATCTCGTGCAGTCGGCTGTGCCAAGCGATGGGATTCCACCTGGTGAGTTTCACAGAATTCACAGAATTCACAGAACTTCGATTTTTTTGTATTATTAAATAATGTATTAGTCTAAAACCTTCAGGCTCCACTGATACGACAACGATTTCGACGATTGCTGTGAAAGCTGGCAACCATGCGACGATTGTCGTCGCGTTGCTTCGAGTAAGAAAGAAAAGTTTTGAGTTATTGAAATGATACTTATCAAATCAAATTTTGTAATAACTTTAAAGTGTGTAGAAAGGAAAGAAATGGGGGCAAGTTGAAGAGTGAAAAAGGGACAGTTGTCTCTCACTCCTACACTTAACCTCTCCCCCCCCCCCTTAGATAATCTTAAAATCTCACTCACTCGGTCAATTAGTGTCTAGTTATTCAAGAGAAATTCAAGAAGAAATTCAAGAACTAGTGTAAAAATCTTAAAAATCATTCACTAAAGCTTTTAGTCAATGGGTTATGTTGAACTGCGAATCGATGAAATGCATCCGGGTTTACTAGCGATTGGAGCTGGAGTTGAAGAGACGAGAAATCTGCTGGCAATTCATGACGATGTGATGAATCGATTGAGAGTGAGAATTGAAAGAAAATGAAGATTTGATTGAAGCTTTTTCAAGCTTTACTGAAGCTTTTTCAAGCTTTACTGAAGCTTCTTCAAGCTCTGAAGCTCTTCAAGCTCTGAAGCTCTTGAAGCTCTTCAAGCTCTTGAAGCTCTAAGAAAAGAAAACCAATCAACTTACGATCTTCCAGGAAAAAGAAGATCAAGTAGAAGTGTTGTTGTCTCGAGCGGACAATCTCGCTCACGAGAAGGAGGATCCAAACGAGCAAATTGGTGAGTCAAGAGTAGCTGATCGTTTCTAAAATGCAAATTGCAGTCTACGAGGCGATGGCAAGATCGTTGAATGCAGCGTGGCGCGAGTTGTTGAAGCAGCTTCAGTTGAGGGGTTATTTACTCCAAGATTGCTACAAATTCTATTCCTTAGCGAGTAAACATCAACAAGTAAAGAATAAATTTGTTATTTCGATATTCTTAAATTTTAGTTGATCAGCTTCTTGTCCCAAGGTGGCAACGGCGATGTTTTCAATGGTAAAATCTCAGCAATCTTTAAAATTCGTTAATTTTTTTAATACTATAATCTTATTTAAAGAGATTGAATAATATTTTTGATAATCTTTAAGAATCTTTAAGTTTTCTATCAAAATTTCTAGACCTTCTGGACATTACGGCTGAGGCGATTGACCTCGGCGCGTCAATCATCGCACAGGTTAGAGAAAATTCATCGTTTTCCATTTCTATCTTTACCTTTTTTTTTTAGGATATTAACAATTTCATATAAAAATATATTTCTTTATGTTACAGATTCGAACACTCGGCTTGATCAATGATAATGAGCATCGTCCAAAGGAGGTTCTCTTAGCATGTGAAGTCATCGAAAAGATTATGCTCAAGTGAGATTAAATTTTTTACATAAAACTTATCAAAAACTGATCAAAAACTGATCAAAAACCTATCAAAAAACATTTCATTTACAAATTTCCTTTTATTTTAAACAATTTAAACAATTTACAAATTGATCTTCGTTCTTTAGGATGGCTTTGGATTGGGAGCGAGTCGAGGCGACAAAGGAACACTTACAGACACAGGTTTCAACTTGAGAATTCGAGAGTTTTGGATTTGAAAAGATTTTAACATCTATATATCTATCTGCACTACTGGACAATGAAATATCATATTTGAAAAAGGATCGTCACTTTCGCGCGTCTGTAACTCCCTTGTCTTTACCGTATTTCTAAATATTAATATTACCATTGTGTAGCCCTTAAAGAGAGCTTTCAGAAAATGCATAACACTAATAGTTTAAACTCAAAGACAAGGGAGTTACAGACGCGCGAAAGAGACGATCGTTTTTCAAATATGATATTTCATTGTCCAGTACTGTATATCTACCTATATATATCTATATCATTTCAGCATATTCAGCAACAACAAAAAGCTCAACACGAAAGTCAACTCGAGGAAAACGCTTTCACACAGGTGAATGGAATGGAACAATCTTTTTTAAATAAACAAAAACAAACGAAACTAATCGTTTGACAGAAAATAACGACTATAACAATTGGCCAATCATTTCCAGATCGAAGATTGGGTGTCAAGAGCTGAGCGTCGCGTTGTTGCCGCAAACGATTTCGGTCTCTCCGTATTGCTCAACGAGGCGGCTGTGGGTTCTTGAGAAGAGAAAAATCGACTGAGATCAATATAGCGACTCTAGACTTTAAAAAAATGATCATCTCTTCTAGGAACAACAACATCGTCTTGATTCTCTGAATCAGATCGATTCAAAACGAGTGGAAACACTTCATCATCGGATCTCTGAACTTGTCGAACGCATTCACAAAAAGCTAAATGCCGCGCAGAGGATTCATCAGTTTTATGGAGCCGCCAATTCGGTAGGTTTTTAAATTCAGAAAAATTAAATTCTCATTTATTGCTTTTCTAGATGTCTGCTCAGTTGGAAATGATGGAACAAGATATGCGAAATGCGAACGCTGCAATGGCTGGTGAATTGGCTCCATTAGCCCGTCAAAAAGCATCAGTGGTCATCGGTGAAGGGAGGAATATATTGAGTAAGGGTTCTTGATTCTTACAAATTCTTAAACAACTACTTTAGCCAGTGAAAAGCTCACCTACGAGGAGCAGCGAACGATCCAAATGAGAGTGAACGAGTTGGAGACGAAATTAAAGAGATTGGAGGAGTTGGCTGAGCAGAGAATCCACGAGACACAGTTTAAGAGCAGTCAACTGGTGGGGAATGGGCTAAGAACAGTGAAACATTTGGGAAATCTCAAGAAAAGATCTGGAGATAGTGAAACTTCTTCTGTAAAAGCGGTTGTTTCTAGGTGTCAACACTTTCTCAATGGCTTCAACAATCTGGCGAGCGTTTTATGACGGAAAGCGGTGATATGGGATCCACTCAGCATGATGGATCGCGTTTTATCGATTCTCACAGAGATTTTGCTCAAGAAATTATCGTGCGTTTAGCTAGAGAATCTATCTAGAATCTTTCTTAGAATCATTCATTTATGATCAATCATTTAGAATCAAGAGTCTTCTGTGCAAACAATGTACCAACAAGCCTCTCAACTAAACGAAACCGATCGACGAACGGTTCAAGAGTTTGAGAAACGGTAAGAATTGATTGATTGGTTGAATTGATTGAATTGATTGGTTGAGTTGATTGAATTGATTGACTGAATTGATTGATTGATTGATTCATTGATTCATTCATTCATTCATTCATTGACTGATTCATTCATTCATTCATTCATTTATTGAATTTATTTGATTCTAGCTTCTAAATAGTCTAGATATATTTGGATTTAAAATACCGTATTTTCTCTAATAGTAGTGCACCCTGAGCGTCGCCTAAATTCCTCGAAATCTGGAGAACCGCTTATCAGAACCTATCGAACCTATCGACGAAAATGTAGCTGACGATGAGATCTAGTAGGGGATTTGAGTGTTGAGCTTCTGCAGAAGCTTGGAAACCGTAAAATAGTCACCAACTCAGCTCGCCGGGTTGCGCTACTATTAGAGAAAATACGGTATCAAAATAAAGACAAAAATTTGACCATCAAAATTCAGCTACGATACCCTGAAGCGACAATTAGAAGAGCGCATTCATTTGGGGCAAACGTTTGAGCAGGTTTATAAACAATGAAACTCATAAAGAACTTATTTAAATTCTAAATAAACTAGAAAATAAGCTAACATTTTACAGGTGCACAAATTCTCTCAAGATTTGCACTCATCTTTCGCAGCGATCAACTCTCTACTCGATTCGACTCAAGGAGGAATCAATGAGAATGTAAAAATATAGATAATATAGGAAATATAGATATTATAGAAAATATAGATAATATAGATAATATAGATATTATAGATAATATAGATAATATAGACATTATAGATAATATATATAATTTAATAAATCACTTGAATATTCTTTTTATTTTTTTAGGTAGCCACTCAAATGAACAATGTTTTTCATATGATTCAAGAGACACTTGGACAAGAAAGGCAACAGGGTTTGTTATTGTTTGTTATTCAAGTTTTCATAAACAACATTTCCGATAGTATTTCTTGAAAATAAAAATCTTATAACAAATTTGTAAGTATTTGTTTAGGAGAGCGCTTTATCTCACGCGCTCAGCAAGCCTCGACAACAGATCGATCGCTGAAAGTGAGTTTGTGAAAAGGAATCATTAGGATTATAGATCGTATTAGAAATCTGAAAACTTTTTTCTTTAAGATCGATAAAGCGATTGAATCAGTGCGCAATGTTTTAATGGAACATGAGCAAAAATTCACTGAAATCACTCAGAAATGGACTACTTGGGAACAGCAGAAAGTAAGCATATTTAATATTTTTAAAAACTATATCTATCAACTACTTTAGACAAGCAACAAGAAATTACAAAATGTCATCGAAGAGATTCAAATTTGGCAGGAAGAGGTTAGTGAAAGGAAGCTTGTAGCTTGTAGCTTGAATCTTGTAGCTTGAGGCTTGAAGCTTGAAGCTTGAGGCTTGAGGCTTGAAGCTTGAAGCTTGTAGCTTTAAAGTTTAAAAGCTTATCTAGGTGATTGAAATCATTGGCCTCTTGGAGAACACACATATTGTTTCAACGAAAGAAAGCGAGGGATTAAAGCGGCGAGTGAGAGAGATTGAGGACACAATCACACAACAAACGACAAGACTTGAAGAGGCCAAGCAGAGTACAAAGGGTCAGTTTCTCTTCATAGAGTGATATAATCTAGAAAAGTGATCTAGCCATAACATAGCCATAATTGCAGACGAGCAACTCTTGCGTCGAATCGACTCCGCTCAGCAACGCCAACATTACATCCACGAGAAGGTAGCCGCGCTGGAGAGAAAGGTGAGATTTATGGTGATATTCTAAAGATCTAAATCTTTAGGTGAACACAATTCACGAGACATTTTTGGAGGAAGAGATTCGAGAGGTCATCAAAGCACCTGAGATCCTTGCTCCGCTTAAAGAAGCTGTGGTAAGTGAGGGTTTTTTTTTTGAAAACAACTACAAACTACAATACTAAACTTCAGTAGTTTAGTATTGTAGTTTGTAATGGTTTTTCTTTAGGTAAACGAGGGTTCACGTTTTGAGTTCGCTGCACGAATCGAGGCCGAACCAGAGCCGGCCATTTGGTAAGTGAATTTAAAATTAACAATAACAAAGTTTAACAATGAAATCTAGCTGGTTGAAAGATGGTGTTGATGTGAAACAAAACGTCGACTATCATACAGAGTTTGTGAATGGAGTCGCAACACTCACAATCGAAGAAACTTTCGTTGAAGACTCGGCACTTTACACGATTCGTGCAGCAAATAAAGGTGGCACGGTGGAGAGTTCGGCAAGATTGAATGTCATTTGTGAGTTTTGTAAACGGAAAGCTATAGTGAACTAAAATTGTAGACGTATTTAATTTTTTTTTCTATTTTCAGCTCGTTCACAAGCCGACCACTCACTCGCCGAAGGAAAACCGCATTTCGTTCGGCAACTCCAGGTGAGCTTCTTCTTTTCTTGTGCATTGAGCTTGTGCATTTTCTCTTTCAGAATTTGAGCGTGACTGAGGGTGAAGAAATTCATCTTGAATGTGTCATTGTTGGAAAGCCAGAACCGGAAGTGGTTTGGGTTAAAGAGGACACAAATATTCGAGAGGATAATCGGTAAGATAATGCCGGGAAAGTTCTCAATATTTTTATGAATTTCTTAAGAATTCGTTTCGATTTCCTTGGTGATCGTTGTTCATTGATTATCTCGAATTCTCAACAAAACGATTCCGGATTGTACACGGTGAAAGCGAAGAATTCTCTTGGAGAAGCAAGCAACTTCGCTCGTCTACAAGTCTCACCAAGAGCTAAGGTCGGTTTTTTTGTGGTTTTAAAGTTCATTTAACATGTCGCCTAAAAAAAAACATTTATTTGCACAGAAAAATATCAGAAATATTTGAAAAGTTGATTAAGAAAGAGAGAGAGAAAAAAAAAGTGATTTCTGTACATTGTGACATTCTTCTGAAGTTCTAATAATAAGAAATTATCCCCGGAAAGCATCATGTCGTTTATGAAAGAAGCGTTGTACTTGAACGTAGTTCTAAAAAATGCAATATAGCTTCTCTAAGATAATCTCTAAGCTAAAAGTCACTTGAAAAACTATCCTAATCTTTCCACTAATCTAATTTAATTTAATATATTATAAAAACTGATTTATCAGTTTGATTTTGATTTTAAAACTGAAAGAGTTTTAAAAATAATCCATGACTTTTCAAACCTGTGGAGTGACGGTGAAACGATGAGTAAGCCCCTTAGGAATCACTACTAAATCTCCTTTCTCACATTGTAATCGAATCCATTCATCTTCCTTAAAGTTAAAAGCTTAGAATAACTTTATTGACTCACCAATGGTTCCACATCGAAATAGCACATCCCGTCAGTGATCAACACCACCCAGTCGGTGTCACGAATCACCGGCTCGTAGAGTTCTTCTAACTGAAAGCATCTCTTCTTGATTAGATCTATCGAATTGTTATCCTTTGTCTTTACCATTCCGCTGAGACCATTGAGAGCCTCGGAGATGGCCAACACATCAGAAGAATTCACATTGCTTGCCGCTTTCACTCGAGACAATCGCTTCTTCAGATTCATCGTGTCCTCCATATCAATCTAAACATTCACAAAAGGATCTAGATCAAGCAAAGCTATGGCTTGAAAACTAGTTTATCTAGTTGGAATCTGGCTTTTTAAATCCTTGAGGCACTCTAGATGATACTCTAGCTGATACCTTATAGCACATTACTCCCGCTTTCGTTGTCAATTGATCTGGAGTGAGACGTTTTGGTGGGAAAATGTGATGCGGTAATCGCTTATCCCCACACGCGTACGGATCCATTGTCCAGATTTGCATTCTTTTAACTGAATGGAAAGATAAGGAAAGACATTATTTGTCGAAATTTTAAGTAAAGAAGTAAAGTAGAAAGAGAAAATGATCTCTTAGACAATTCTTGATATTGTAATCAATTTTTAAAACATAAACTATAAAGTTTATTGAAAAATAAGCATCAAGAAGAAAGGAGAAATGAATGGCAAATTAAGAAAAAAAAGCTTCTAATGGAAATGCGAAATTTTATGAGCCGACAAAGATTTTTTTGGAAAATGAGCAAAAGGAGAAAAAAAAGAGAAAAAAGAGACAGAGATCTTCTGGAGATATTCTTTTTCGGCTTCACAAAAAGAGAATCAAAAAGAGAGGATTTGAGGATGAGCAAAAAAAAAAGAAATGAGATCTTTAACTTGAAACAAGATTTTTCAAGTGAGTGAAAGAATGAAATGAAAGAAATCGAAGAGACGGCCTCGATTCTAGACGATTTTTGCTCAATGGCAAATTTGAGAAAAAGTCGACAAAAATGACATGGCTTTAATTTTAGAGAATCCTGTGAATTGCGCTAGAAAGACCGCCTTTCTAGCGCACACGATGCATAGCTCGTTTTTTCATCTTACGAATGAGTATTACGAATCAGTAGAGCAAATTACACACACAAAAGAATCTAAAGAAACTCGTTGAATAGAAAAATTTCTATAGAAAGAAGTGATTTATTCAAAAAAAATGAGCTTATTAACGATTAGCTCAAAAAAAAATCAGCGTTTAATGCATAAAAAAAAGCTTTGAAACCTTAAGAAGACTAAAAAAATGAGGCTAAAGACTGGGGGGAAATGGGAAACGATTAGATCGAAATCCCTGGATGAATCTAAAAGAGAAAAAAGAAAGCTTTATGAGATCAAATCTACACCCCACATCTCTCCATTTTTTTTCTATTTTTTTCCAACTCAAAACATCATTGGTAAATCGAGAAGAAAGATAAATATAAAAGAAAAAAAAAACATTTTTTAATTCGTTGCCTAATCCTTATCTCTTTTTTTAAATCAATCTTTACACTTTTATGATCTCTTAAAGAATTTTATTAATCGAAAATCTTCAGCCAGCTCCACCACCCACTCCACCAAAACCCACGTCAAGACCTTCATCGAGAGCTGTGAGTTTAATTGTTTTGATCTTTAAGTAATCATTTGATTTTAGGCTAAACCACCAGCCATCCAACCGACTCTTGCCAATAACACTTATCGAGAGGGAGATCAAGTCAAACTACAAGTAAAATTATTTTCAATAAACTATTATCTAGGTATTTATTATCTAGGTATTTATCACTGGTGAACCACGACCGAGAATTCAATGGACATTCAACGATCAACCAATTCGTATCACTCAACACTTACATATCGAGAATGAAGTGCGAAATGAAAGAAAGATTTCATTCCTTTTAGTATATTAAAGAAATAAAGATCTAGCTTTTAATAGAACAAAAATGTTTTAGATTTAGATATGATTTAGATATAAAATTTCTAGGAAACTGGATGGTCTCGTTTAATTATTGATGAAATTCGCCCCGAGCATGCCGGCATTTACACGGTTTTTATCAAAGAAATTATAAGAAGTAAGAATGTTTTAGGTATTTGCTGAAAATGAGGCTGGTGAAGCGAGAACTGGAGCATCAATGCATGTGACACCTGGACAACCACTCATCCAACAGGAGGAACAAATTCAAACTCGATCCACGGTCACTGTTCAACAAAGCGCTGCCATTCCACATAAAGAAGTCACAAGAGTGAGTTTTGACTTTAGAAGAGCTAACTCGATAGGTTCTAGGTGGTGACTGAGGGTTATTGGACAGACGGTCAATTGACTGGCTCACCCACTCCACCACCAATTCCTCGTCATGGTATGCAGGTTCGTCTCGAAGAGTTTGGAGAACAAGATGTCACCGAAGTTGGTAGGTCGATTTCTAGTATGCTAATTTCTAGTATTTCTAGTAACGAAAGTTTCTGTGATGAATTATTGACCTTTTCAGGTTTCTCAAGCATTGCAACCTCGCCCGAATTCATCCGACCATTCCTCAAAGAGCACACGGTGAATGAAGGGGAAAAGATTCGAATCGAGTGTTTGATGGTCAGATTTTATAGAATATATAATACTTTTTAGAGAGCTTGATCTTGTTATTCAGCTTTTTTCAGATCGGCGCACCTCGTCCCAAAGTAAACTGGTATCACAATGAGCGCAACATCAACCTCAGTCAGGGTTTCGTTGAAGTGAGTGCTCTTTTTTACGGTAAAAAAAAGTACGCAATGATTTAGCTATCAAATGTTGGCGACACGTACGCGATTGTGATCAATGGAGCCACACAACAGCACGCTGGTTACTACAAAATGATCGCTGAGAATTGTCGAGGAAAAACGGAAAGTCAAACGATACTTCATGTGAGACCCAGGTAGTATGAAGAGAAAAATCATTAACTTTTCAAATTTCTAGGGAAATGGCTCTTGCACAGGAAGAGTTTGAGAGACAACAAAAGATGCTTCGTAAAACCACCCAATCACCTTTACAACAACAGGGATCGAGACCAGGCAGTCGCGGCGCACAAGAGCATCGAGAGGTCAGCTTTAGATCAACTTTTCATCAGATTGATTTGATTTTAGAGAATCGATGAGCGTGTGAGCTATGAGATCGAGAGTCAACGCAGGGCACAGAAACATGGAGAGTCTCGACTCGTCACTCCACCACCAGCTAAACGACATTTGACACAAGAGCATCACCAGAAAACGGTTTTTATTTTAAAAATGACAAATCTAGAAGAAGATTAGAATAGAAAGCTTTTTCAGGATCACCATGAAGAGTTCGAGATCGAGCAGCAACGCCGTGCGCAGGGTCAACCTCCGCATTTCACTCAGGTTCGATAGATTATTGTTATGAACCTAGCTAATATTGGATATCACTTTTTAAAACCAATCTTCTAGACATTGGTTTCCGCTGTTGCAGCTCAAGGTGAAGACGCACGCTTTGAAGGAGTTGTCACTGGTGTGTTTGAAAAATTTTCTGTTTAACTGCAAAGCGGATCTCATTCTAGGCTGGCCAGCACCAGAGATCGAGTGGACGAAAGATGGAGAGGTGATCAATCGACAAACACATCCCGATATTAGTGAGTTTTTAAAAGTCGAAGCCTCTATTTAGAACATTATTTCTAGATTTCTCAGCCATCGGTGGTCGTGTCTCGTTGTCGATTGGTGCTTCAGATGTCGATCACGCGGGCAAATACATGTGCACAGCGAGAAACGCCTCCGGAGTTGCTACCTCGTCTGCACAGCTTGTCGTTAGACGTGAGTTTTAATCTTTCTAAAGATCATCTCAACATTTCAGCAAAAACAATCGCTCCGGATTTCATTCAACGGCTGATCTCTGAGGAAGTGGTCGAGGGAGAACAACTAAAATGGACTGTCCGAGTCACTGGAGATCCACAACCAAAGGTAAAATAACAATATTATTTAAGATTTATTTAAGATTATCTTATGTATGATTGCTTTATTGTAAAAAAGTTTACTTTAGGTAACCTGGTTGCGAGACGGTGTCGTCATTCCCGATTGTGAAGAGGTGCGAATCGTCGAGGTGAGCAAACTTTTGATTCTCGATAAAATAAAACTTTTAAAATCTAGCATGACATCCATAGTTTTCAAAAATTAATCAAAAATTCGCATTTAGGAGGGTGATGGGGTGCATACGTTGTTGATCGTTCGCGTCGAGATGGCCGACTGCGGACAGTTCACTTGTCTAGCTGAGAATATCGCCGGTTTGTTACTTGAGCAGTTGAAATCTAGAGATAAAGCTATTTCACTTTTATAGGAGAAGCTCGTTCCACAGCAGATCTTGTCGTCCGGTCGCCGGGCGCTGATCCGGGCAACTATTTCCACGTTACGAAAGTCACCCAGGAACGGCAGGTAAGGGAAAAATGGTGCTTTGTGCTCAAGGATTTCTTGTAAACACACCTTTTCTAACGCATTGGATTCTTTACGTATATTATTTTATGGTTTAATATTATATTATTAATATTTAGGTGAAAGGCGAGGAACCACAAATCGACCAAGCTTTCGCTATTGAAAATCCCCGAAATGCTGCCAGCAATTTTATCTAAAACTTTAACTATATTATTTTTTTTAAAAACAATTTCCTTTTTTTCTTCTCTATCTATTTCTTTAATTTATCCCTTTCTCAGTGTGCTGTGCGACGAATAAAGCGAATTCTTTTCAAATCAAAAGAAAAATTTAATAAACATCCGTTGAAAAAAAAAGAATCACTTTAACGCTTTGAATGCATTCCAGAATTGACGAAAATTCAGTTTTTAAATGAATTTTTTTTGGAATAAAGGCTGGAGAAATCGATGAATGTTGTAGCGCGCGCATTCCTCTCCCATTCCTCTCCCATTCCTCTCCCATTCCCCATCAACCGCATTCCTTTCCGTCGACTCATCTCCCCTCTGGACTCTCCTCTTCATCTCGAAAAACAAAAAAGATCACTTTTTAAAGCCAAGGGGAAAAGAGAAAGAGATCCGAATCTGCTAATTGAATGTTAAATGGAAATTTTGTTGATTTGTCGGCACTGTTCTTTTGCAGAAAAAAGACCGAGTTTCAGGAGGCTCGGAATTCCAGGAGATAAGAAAAAGATGACAGTTTTAGGGTAGGTTCAAGGGTACGTTCAAACTATTTGGCTTGCAATGGCCATTTTGTCATCACGTTTTCTCTCTCTCTCTCTCTCCACCCAATCCCGCAAAAAGACAGCCGGCGGTCTGCCTTGTCCCTCTTCAGTCCCCAATCCTCCAATCTTTTCCCCCCGCGTTTCCCCTTCCCGCAACAGAGTTCTGCCCCTCTCCCCCTTTCCCCCAATCACTCCTTCAGTCAAAGACACGACTCAACGGGGGTCTATTTGGCCCGCAGCCAACCCCCAACCATCCCCTGCCTGTGTGCTGTCCCCATCCCGATTATTACTTTTTTATTGATGCAGACACATTCTTTCTTTTTTTTTGCAGAATGTCGTGCACTCCAGGAAAACCCCTGCGCTTGGCTAAAATTGCAGATTGATTAACTCCACAGTTTTTCACTGTGGAATAACTTCTTGACTCAACCCAACAATTTTCTTTTCTAAAAGCTGTCACAATTTTAAACATCTTAAATTATAGTGTGCGTTCCAGGATTATCTCAATCGTTTCTCAAAAAAAAATCTTGCTTAAGAAATCGGAAGAAATTTTGTTGAGGAGATTCTTGAATGAGCCAGACACTCTAATCCAGTCGATCACGTGTTTGTTAGACGTAAGATTCGTCGAAATTTATTGTCGAAACTCTCCGATGACATTCTTGGTTGTAATTGGTTAAAAAAAACGTGGATTAATGTTTAGATTTCAAAAAAAAAAGATTCAGTCAAAATCGTGATTTTTTTTTTCATAAAACAGATGGAAATTGAAAATTTATATGTAAATTTTTTTTTGGTAGAGAAAAACATTGAACAGTTTCAATGAATTTCTCCTGTTTTTCTCTACCACGTGTTTAAATGAGTTGGGAAACTTTTTCTCTACACTCCGTCACTGGTTTCCCCCGGCATGGAGTGCATGTGACTAGCTCGCTCGGGAGTCGCTTTTCTCGTCACTTTTTTTTTCGCGACAATAACAAATTTCAAATGTTTTAAACGACTTTTTGACGATTATGGAACGCATGGTTCTTGAATTCATACAGAAAATGTTGATTGATGTCGATTGAAGAAATGAAGCGGTCTGCCTGATCGCCGGAAATCTTTTATCGACTATATTTTCGCGTAAATTGGCGCCAATCGGAAAAATTATCTCACTTTTTGTCGATCCTGGATCACATGCAAAGCCATTAAAATGTTTAAAACCACGTCATTCTCACTTTTGTCTAGTTTGACTCGATCAGCCTTGCACTTCACTTTTACTTCGCTTTTACTTGGCAGAGAAAAGCTGATTCAAAAATTTTTCTTAATTCTCTTCAATCCTGGATGACATGTGATGCATTCAAATCCTTAAACGCCTTTCATTCTCACTCTTTCTCAAATCTGACTCAGGAGGCGTTTGTCAAAGAAAATGACTCACGGTTATATGCTCGTTCATTTTTCAGCTCAGCGTCATTTCCTTTCATTTTTTTTTTGCGGTTTTCCCCCAAGCTGGAATGCAGCCAGCTGATTTTTCTCGGAATTTTTGAAATTTTTGAAAAAACATTTTTTTCTTTTCTTTTCTTTACTTAATCAGCTAAATTTTTAATTTTTAGATATTACAAAAGAATCTTTTGCCTTTGTCGAATGCAATGTTCTCAAGGAAAATCTCTGCGGTGCAATCGTTTGAGCCTTCGTCATCGTCAAAATTTTCGCCCTCATCAACGACAACGCACACGATGAGTGAACAAATTTTCGTCCTAATGGAAGTCTTCAAAAGGTTTGTGGAAGGGGAAATTGTTAAATGCACCCTTTCTGGCAAGAAATTCTTCGTTTTTTTTCTTTTTTTTTCACCAGAAAAGGTGCGTTTACAACTGTCGAGAGCACAAAAAAAAGCATTGATTTGAAATTGAAACAAAGTTTAAATAGAGATTTTGAAAATTAGACAAAACTAGACACATTTTCCCGTCATTGAGCAAAGAGAAATGCAAGTTGTTCTCCAATATTTCATTAGGGGATTTTTTTGAAAATCATTTCTTATCGCCTTTTCCTCAAAAATGTGATAACGGGCTTTTGGGATTGACGGAAAAATCGAGAAAATTTTCCCTTTTTCTTGAAACTTTCAAAATTTTATAGTTGAACTTTTATTTTTATTAGTAAATTGACATTTTATTGTGCTTTAAGCTTGTAACTTGTAACTTTAAGCTAAACTTTAAGCTAAACTTTAAGCTAAACTTTAAGCTAAACTTTAAGCTAAACTTTAAGCTAAAAAATAAACTCATCCTTTTAGCTCATTTAATTTCTCATTTCTCATTTCTCTTTTTCAATCATTTTGTTTCTATGAGAAAAGAAAGAATTGAATTTTCGAAAAACGGATTGTCAAATTATCAATATTAGGCTTTTAAAAAGATTCAATTGAGTTTTCTTTATTAATGAATTTTCTTTTTGAGGTGCGATCCAGTCTCGACCAGACGAAGCGCTGAAGTTTGTCGTCGTTGGCGCCAAGTGATCGCGAGCGGAACGGGAAACGAAACAAATCAGTCTCAAGGTCAAAACAACAACAATAACAATAAACAAGTAAGATATCAATGTATAAATCTAATATTTAAAATTCTTTTTTAGATGCATGACGATCGTCGGCTTCGCATTGCACATTTTGGCCGAATCTATGTCACCGATCGGAAGCGGTGAGTTGAATAAATTGAAATAGATAATTTTATAGTATAATCTTATGTATATTTAATTCCCCTTTTTAACTTATAGAATAATCCTGGAGCGTTTACGGACGAAAATCGAGGTCCAAGAGGAAGCTGAAATAGCGAATACGAGGATGCGACACGGGATTCAGGTTAAATTTTCAAAATTTTTCAACTCTTTAATTGAATAGCTTATGAATATACTTTATTTTTCATTTTTAGCCTGGTTTTTCAATGTCAAACAGTAAAAATGGCTCGTTGAAAGTTCTCCAAATGCAACCCCCATCACAAATGGATTCGGTAGGTTTTCTTTTAATAGATCTTGAAATTGTTGTTGTTAGTTATGCTAAAAAGCTTTATTACGAATTTACAAGTACGCTTGTAAGTACAAGTACATACATTATTTTCCCATAAGCCATAAAGTTTCGACTTTCTCCTTTTCTTTCAGGTTTATGTGGACGAACGAGTGGCGGACAGCTCACAGCGCACGAGTTGGGCTTTTTCGTGGAACATTCGACCATGGATTGATGAGTATGATATACAAGAGGTTTGTTCAGAAGCTTTGTCCTTGTTAAAAATGTCTTTTTTTAAATTCAGGTCGTTTTTCATAACTTTTGCGCTTTTCTTGAGCGAGAGATCACTGAAATGGCTGACCCAACACCGATTCAATCGACGAGTCGCGAGGCTTTACTGACGCAATCGCATGGTAGCAGTGCATACTTGGTAAGCTTTAAAAAGAAAAAAAGATTAGATCGATCTTGTCATAAGCTTATTTCGCTTGTCATGAGCTTATTTCATGAATTGAAATATGGCAACAGACAGGCTAATTTTAGAATTTTTCAAAATTACTATAACAGCTTTTGTGATTGACATTTTCCTCTTTTTTTTTTTCAATTTTTTTTCCGTCTGTGTTTGATAAGAGAAAATGAATGAGGAAACTGAAAAGTAAAGAAAAAAAAACAAGGAAAAGAAAGTTCAACTATTCAAGATATTTTTTCGATTTCGAAATGCAATCTGAATTTTTCTTAGCACACTCCTTCCTACTCACCAGGCAATTCTCCATCACATAATGGTGTCATCGGCACTCAACCGTCCACACCAATGAATCAGCCGCAACAAGAGATCCGTGATGTGAACACTCTACCAGATGTGAATATTTGGAATGGAGAAACGATGGAGGTGAGGGGAAATATAGCATTTGTTTCCATTTTCATTTTCATTTCCATTTCCAGGAACTCCTAAACCTTTCGTCGGGTCGAATCGAGCGTCTAGCGCAAGTGCTTTCGGCGATCAATCCACTTCATCTTGTAATCAAAGTGAGCATATTATATACAAAATTTTCTATACTAATATTAAATATTCTTCACTCGTTTCACTCAAATTTCTATAGGACACAACGCGACGGATGCGTCGACCGATTCGAATCGTTTTCTTTGCTATCAAATTGTAAGTAATAAAATGATCTATTTAATAGAATCTTTTGATATTAATAATCAAATTTAGACTACGAAACAATCTACGGCGGTTAACACTCGAGAATCTAACGGGCAATGAAACAGTCGAGTTGGCGAAATGGTTGAGTTTAGGCGGATTGGAGAAACTCGTCATTAAACAACCGGTGAGCTGAATGGCTGAATATCTTTTTAAAATAAAAAGCCTTTATTTTCAGTCATCACATACAGCTTTCACTGTTAACGAGCAACTCTTGTTCAAATGGTTACGTTTACCAGAAACTCGCCGAACAAAGATCAACATTGAATTTCATGGTTGCCGAGAGTTGACTGCTGAGGGTTTAGCAAAGTTTATTAAGGTGAGAGTCTTGAAATTTCCCTTCATTCTTACATTATTACACTTTAGGCCTGGCAATTGACTCCCGAGATTTGCGAGTTTGAAACGATCAAAATCGATTGCGCCACTCTGCAACCGGTCGAGTTTCTCGCTGTCGTCAGCAAAAAGGTTTGAAAAGTCGATTATTGTAATGAGGCTACAGTATAAATAAAAGTTTTTCAAACTGATTTTTAGCCAAACGAGCGCCTCTCATCAACGCTTTTCGAAGAATTTTCTCTACGAGCCGCCCTCAATCACCGAAAAATGATTTTCCAACATGAGCGCAATGGTGCAGTCATCAAATTTTCAGCTGATCAGAAGTGAGTTCAATACGAAATTTCTAGAAGATCATCGAGTAAAAAACAACTAAAATTTCCTTTGCAGAATGATGACTCTACAATGTGTTCGGACTCAAGTCACTCAGCCGATGATCAGTCGACGCTCAGCGCCACTCATTCAGGTACAAAACAAAAACTAGACTTGCTTCTATTCTTGGATCAGAACTCGAAACCGTGCCTTCCAAAGCCAAGAACTCCTAAACCAGTGGACCTGATTAAGCTTACAATTCTTGTGCAATTGTAAAGATTATGCTTAATTATCAAACTTTTTCATTCCAGACGCTCGAGCATCGTCATCAGGCTCGTCTCGGCGCTCATGATGGGAAGGGATCGTTGGCGAATCTTTTGTCAACCGGTGATGTGGGCGGACTAGTGAAATCCCTGTTCGCTAGTCCTGAGTCGAGAAAACGAGTCACGCAGATTGCATAAATGGTTTGAAAATTGAGAAATTGTATATAGGTTTATGAAAATTTGTGTTACATCTATCGAAAGATCCAAATTTTATGTTCCACTAAATTTTTCTTGTAAAAACATTTGTAAATACTTTTTCTTCTCTTCTCTTTTCTTTTCTTTTTTAAGAGTTTTATCATCACCGGTGGGTTCGATTTTCTTTGGAAAATTTCATAGAAATTGTCAAAAAAATTCGGTCAAAAATTGGATGTACAGTTTTTAAATAATAAATGTTTATTTGCATATTTACATATTTGCAAAAATACCCTTTCTGCCGCACTGAAATCTTTGCAAAAAAAAAAATAGAAAGCGATGAAAGCTGATGAAAACGCTCTGCCTGGTGGGTAGATCATCTTGTGCTTAAGACTCTTCTCATCCACACCATGTGCCATCTCAAGCGCACACATCAGTTCCTTAAAGCTAGCCCACAAATTCACACGGAGCTATGGAAATATCGGTATTCTTTTACCTTTGGTGTCCAACACTTTCACTATGAGAAGCTTGGTCAGATAAGCCAAGAGCTGGATCAGAACTGATCGTGAAATGATGAGCGAAGCGTGACCAGTTTTTCGAGAAAATGCCAAGGAAATGAAAGAAACGATCAACAACTACTCACCAATCCATAACATTCGAAGCTTTTCTTCAGGATATACACATCTGCTCTCGAGTTTTTCAAGTGCAAAAAACATGCAGGTCCAGCGTCGACTTTGAGATTTTAGGACTTGCTAGATCCAACATTCAGTGCGAGGAATATCCAAACAGTTCATGTTGATCCCAATGAATAGGGAATCACTGGAGTCAACGCACTTAATGTAGAGAGGATTCAGGTATCTTTGTTTAGCTATCAATTTTGAAGTTTTAGGACTTGCTAGATTAAACATTCAGGGCATGGAACATCCAAACAGTTTGTGTTAATCCCAATAAATTGGGAATCACTGGAGTGAATACACGTGACGTGAAGAAGATTTGAGCATCTAAACTTAGCGTTAATCTTGTGGTTTTAAGTTTTAGGACTTGATAGTATTAACATTCAGGGCAAGAAATATCCAAACAGTTTGTATCATACACGATGAATTGGAAATCACTGGAATGAACGCATTAATGTAAAGAAGATTTTGAGCCTCTAAGCCTAGCGTCAATTTTAAAGTTTTAGGGCTTGCTAGATTAAACATTCTGGGCATGGAAAATCCAAATAGCTTGTGTTGATCTCAATGAATTGGGAATCACTGGGGTGAATACACATCAAGTGAAGAAGATAAAGCATCTTTTTTTAGGTATTTGAAGTTTTGGGACTTGGTCAATTTAACATTCAGAACACGGAAGATCTAAACAGTTTGTATTGTCTTCGTTGACTTGGGAATCACTCGAGTGAATACACATAAAGTGAAGAAGATTTTGAGTGTCTAAGCCTAGCGTCAATTTTGAAGTTTTAGGTCTTGTTAGATTTAACATTCAAGGCATGGAATATGTAAATAGTTTGTATTGTACTCGATGAATTGGAAATCACTGGAGTGAATACATATAAAGTCAAGAAGATTTAAGCATTTTTGTTTAGCTATCAAGTTAGAAGGTTTAGGACTTGCTAGTTTAAACATTCTGGGCAAGGAATATCGAAACAGTTTATTTTGATCTCAATGAACTGGGAATCACTGGAGTGAACGCACTTAATGTAAAGAAGATACAAGCATCTAAGCTTAGTGTAATTTTTTTAAAGTTTTAGGACGTGGTCAATTTAACATTGAGAACACGGAATATCCAAACAGTTGGTATCGTACTCGATGATTTGGGGATCATTAAATTTTCTCCCAAATGTCATCATCTAAAAATAATTTTTGATAGATCTTAAAAAACTGGCTTAAATGTGGGCTATTTTCAAGTAAGAGTGGCAGATTTTGGTCGATTTTTTCAGCATTTGGAATCAATTTTAGAAGTCCAACGAGTTCATTTTGCAAAAGCTCGTTGACGACTCGAATGTGTAACTTTGAAAGTACAACACTGATAAACTTTGGGTCAGTGTTGAGGCTGGTGATCCAGAATTGATATAGTATTCGATGGCTTTTGCAAAATTTTAGAAATTTGAGAAAATATTGGTTTTGATTGGGATTTGGTCCTTTTTGGAAAGTTGAGTACGCGATTTCCAAACGATTCGCCGATTCCAAAAATCGCGCGGTACAAATTTTTTTCCCAAAATCTCATTTGGGAACGTTTGCAAGACAAAAAAGACTTTCAAGACCTTGAAAAAGCTTCAGTTTTTCAAAATTTTCGGACCTTTCTAGGAGTTCTTCCCTTTTTTGTTCAGCTCTTCGCCACTTCCTGTTTCCAAGTGCCCAGAGTACACCACGAGGAGGCGGCTAAACTTTGAACTCCGCCACCTAACATTGGGATCCGAGGTCCACGTCTGGTCCTTGGCGATGGCACCGATTCCCGCCGAAAGAATGCTCAGCTTTCTAGGGTGCGTGGGATCTTCTTCACGTTATGTGTATTCACTCCAGTGATTCCCAGTTCATTGAAATCAAAACAAATTGTTCCGATATTCCTTGCCCTGAATGTTTAATCAAAATTGATGATGGGCTTAGATGCTCCAAATCTTCTTCACTTGATCTGTATTCACTCTAGTGATTCCCAAGTCAACGAGTACGATACAAGCTGTTTAGATATTCCCTGCCCTGAATGTTAAATCTAGCAAGTCCTAAAACTTCAAAATTGACGATGGGCTTAGATGCTCCAAATCTTCTTCACTTTATGTGTATTCATTCCAGTGATTCTCAATTCACCGAGAAGGGCATAAACGATTTGGATATTCCCTGCCTTGCATTTTAAAATTAGCAAGTCCTAAAACTTCAAAATTGCTAGTCAAGCTTAGATGCTGGTATCTTCTTTACACTAAGTGATTCTTTCACTCCGGTGATTCCCAATTTATTGGAATCAACACAAATTGTTTGGATATTCTCTGCCCTGCATGTTTAATCTAGCAAGTCCTAAAACTTTAAAATTGACGTTAGGCTTAGAGGCTCAAAATCTTCTTTACATTAATGCGTCCATTCCAGTGATTTCCAATTCATCGAGTACCATACAAACTGTTTGGATATCCCTTTGCCCTGAATGTTAATACTATCAAGTCCTAAAAGCTAAAACCACAAGATTGACGCTAAGTTTAGATGCTCAAATCTTCTTCACGTTTTGTGTGTTCACTCTATTGATTGCCAATTCATCGAATACCATACAAACTATTTGAATATTCCTTGTCCTGAATGTTGAATCTAGCAAGTCCTAAAACTTCAAAATTGACGCTAAGCTTAGATGCTCAAAAACTTCTTCACTTTATGTGTATTCACTCGAGTGATTCCCAAGTCATCGAGTACCATACAAACTATTTGGATATTCCTTTGCCCTGAATGTTTAATCTAGCAAGCCCTAAAACTTCAAAATTGACGCTAGGCTTAGAGGCTCAAAAGCTTTTTTACATTTACATCTTTACATGCGTTCATTCCAGTGATTTCCAATTCAGATTTCCAATTCATCGTGTACGTTACAAACTGTTTGGATATTTCTTGCCCTGAATGTTAATACTATCAAGTCCTAAAACCTAAAACCACAAGATTGACGCTAAGTTTAGATGCCCAAATCTTCTTCACGTTATGTGTATTCACTCCGGTGATTCCCAATTTATTGGGATCAACACAAACTGTTTGGATATTCTCTGCCCTGAATGTTTAACCTAGGAAGTCCTACAACTTCAGAATTGATAGCTAAAAAAAAGGGCCTAAATCTTCTTGACTTTATATGTATTCATTCCAGTGATTCCCAATTCACCGAAGACGGCATAAACCATTTGGATATTCATTGCCCTGAGTGTTAAATCTAGCAAGTCCTAAAACTCAAATTTGACAGCTAGAAAAAGCTGCCTAAATATTTTTCACGTTTTGTGTATTCACTCTAGTGATTGCCAATTCATCGAGTACCATACAAACTGTTTGGATATTCCATGCCCTGAATGTTTAATCTAGCAAGTCCTAAAACCTCAAAAAAACCACACTAAGTTTAGATGCTCAAATCTTCTTCACGTTACGTGTATTCACTCCGGTGATTCCCAATTTATTGGAATCAACACAAACTGTTTGGATATTCTCTGCCCTGAATGTTAAATCTATCAAGTCCTAAAACTTCAAAATTGCTAGCCAAGCTTAGATGCTCGTATCTTCTTTGCATTAAGTGCGTTCACTCCAGTGATTCCCAATTCATTGACACCAAAACAAACTATTTGGATATTCCTTGCCCTGAATGTTTAATCTAACAAGTCCTGAACCTTAAAAATTGATAGCTAAACTAATAATAAGATGCTTAAATCTTCACATACTGTGTGTTCAGCAAATCTGTTGTGAAAAGCACAATCCTTATGTGAGTGTTTGATATTTTCTTCATTCAAAAAAAAGCTGCTTGCCTACAAGTTTTATTCACGAATTCCACGTTCAATTCAATTCAAACGATTTCACTCACAAAATGGTACAGAATGGAATATTTCATATTGTCAATACATGCGCAAAAAAAAATTGTGATGAAGGCAAAATTGGATAAGGTAAAGTGTTCACCCGATTCGACTAATTGAGTTAGAATTGTACTGGAATTCTGTTTTTTTTCAACTAAGAGCCACGGAAATGCCGGAATAATACTAATTACACATGAATAAAAAGAAAAAGATAAAAGGCACATTAATTGCAGCAATTGGGGGAATTTCCAAATTTCCAAATCTCAAACTTTTGTTTGTTTTTTTAAATCAGGAAACCCGGGGAGTTTGTTTTTTTTGAATCTACATGGGTAATGATTTCGGTGATCTACTGATAAGCCCAAAATCAATAGTCAACTCAAATAGGATTGTCTTTTGAGTACATAGAAAGTACATAGAAAGTACATAGAAGTGACAGTGAAAGTGATTGAGAGTGACAGAGATTTTCCAAAGCTTTTTTTTTATTTGACCAGATCTAGCCTAAGCTGGGTTTAGCTCTAGCTTCATTGGAAAATCCCTGACTGACTGGCGAAAGTAATCGTGGGTACAATAGAGCAGGAAATCTGCAATAGAGCAAATTTAAAGTCGAGCAAATTATTCAGCAATTGATATGAAAGATTTTTTTTGTGTTCTGAGGCAAAAAGGGAAAGTCTTGAAGCTTCAATTTTGAAGAAGAATTTAGAAATTGTAATAATTCTAAAGCTTCTAGAAAAATTGTAATAATTGTAATAATTCTTGAAGCTTCTAAAAAGAATTTAAAATAAAAAAAGATAAATCAAAAAAAAAATACAATCACGTAAAAGCAATATATTCAAATTTTTTGCAAAAATTTCTCTACAAATCTAAATTCGAAAATTCTACCGAGATCCCTAACTTGATAATGGCTGATGAAGATATGAAGGTTCATATCTGATGAAGATATGAAGATATGAAGGGTTTAGAGAAAGAAATCTAGAAGGAAATCATCGAATACACCAATTCTACATAGAAATCTGTTCAAATTCTACTATCAATACTAATGAAGCTAATTGGATACACGCAAAGAAAACCGTGACTAATAAAGGACTCAAAGAAATTCATTTAATCAATCCATCAATCCATCAATCCATCAATCCATCAATCCATCAATGCATTTAAGCAAACAACCATCGATAGTTCTGCACGATGGTGATCATCTGTGCAGTTTTTGGATTCTCCGGTTGGACGAGTTGAGACTCCGAAGCTCTATAGCGTCTACGACATCGTGGTGAAGTGCGTAAATCTGAAAAAATCGATTTTGTCAAGATCTGATCGAAAGATTGAAAGTCTCAAGTTGAATTAACGAAAACTTACTTGATAAAAACGTTTCATAGAGAGCATGAGTGTCATTTGGATTCAATTTACACGTTTCCCCATTCACAAAAAGTCGACGCCAATTGAAAATCTTTCGATAAGTAAGCGTGGCAATCGGCGAGTCGAACTAAAATCAGATTCAGATAGAAATTCAGATAGAAATTTATTTCATCAATTTATTTGATTAATTTATTTGATCAATTTATTTAATCAATTTTTCAATCCACCGAAACTCACCAATCTATCGTAGGCAGCCATATATTCATCAACTGTGATCAAATCGCAATTGCCTAATCCTTGCAATATCAATGCCAACGATGGAGTGGGCGATGTGACTTGGAAACAAACGGAAACCTCATTGTTCAATGTCACGATTTGACTCAAGCGCTTCCAACAATCACTAAAATAAAAGCTATATCATTTCAGACTTTTTAACTAAAACTAACCCTTCAGCAAGACCGGGCACCCAATTTTGTGTACGTTTCCAATCATCGTAACTCAGATGAGACTCGAATTTCTTGAGATTCGTTGGTGGCAAGATTGAACGCTCAGCCATTCGACTCACAAAGAATGGAGAACAGCCGTGAAGGGTCAGATTCTTGGGAAGCCACGTCTGAAAATAGGCGTTTACTTGACCGTTTACTTTACTTAATCTCTTCTCCAAACTGTTCAAGGTTTGAATAAAAAGACACCGAGATTCCCGTTTAAACTTTCGATTGCTCAACAGACAATATTTATTCAAGCCTAAACAGTCTAATGGTGAATCCCAGTTATCGGTTAGCTGAGTACTCGTTTACCCCTTCTTTCCCCTTCTTTCCCCTTCCGCCCTTGGGGGAGTGGGCTGGGCAAACAAATTGATCTCTCAAAAGCGGCCTTTCGAGTGAATCCTCTTCCTCAATTCTCATCAAAAAGGTCAACTTTCGTTTATCAATCGGTTTGCCTTTGAATTGGCAATGTACATATCATTTGTAATGTACAAATCATTTGCCCCAAAGCCCTAGATCAATTTAGAATCAAATGAACTCACTTGTTCTGTGTTTGAGAAACCAGTTGAACATCGGAGAAAAGAGATATTCTTGGTGGATGAAGTTGAGATAATATTGAGCAAAAGATCAGTGACATCCGAGTCACCCACGGTCATTGTTTCCACCTCGATCATCTCATTCAACCAGGGTAAAGCATTCAACCAAGTTTGAGTCTGAACGATTACAATAGTTGATGATTTAAAGTGTAAATTACTTAAGTGAACCGAATTTAAACCAAATCCCTTTCAGATAAAGCTCAATGAAAGTATTCTTCAGTTTACCTGTCTCAACTTGGTGATCGTCAACGCACGCACCTCATGCAAGAAGGGTTCCAGGATTCGGTGAGCCAGAGCCAACTAGAAAAGAGAATTTTTATCAAATTGGATATCAGTCTACTATTCTAGAAGTTTGAAAGTTAAATAAATGCAAAAATAAAAAAAAAAATAAAAATCTACCTCTGTCTCATGGACTTTCATCAACTCGCGCCCATTGAGTCCAATTCGAACGATCGAATCGCTTTCAGTGCCCTAAAAGATGATTGAAGATTTCTATATTGTTTAGCAATTATTTTAGATATAAAACCCACTTGTAACTCAAGCGATTTCAACTGAAAATACAATTGCCCAGGTCGAATTGTTGTCGCTGCCAACAGATCGGAAAGTGTCTGAAAACCTCGTTTGTTTTTTTCAAAATCCCCTTGACCCAATTGATTCATCATTTTTTTTTTCATTTTCCTTTCCAAAATCAGCTGATCGAGTGGGGGAAAACAACAGGGAAACCGAGATCAGAGGAATCAATGAGACACCTTTTCTTTCCTTCGTAAACACTTGGCAACATTGTTTTTAAAAGAAAAAACAAGCCAATATAACGATTTGAATGATTTAGCCCTTACAGAAGAAAAAGTCAAACAATTCACAAGCAAAAAAATAGCTGTTTTCCTTCATTTTCTGCATTCTATTCAAACTTGAATCTCTCTATGCTCAAAATCTTCTTCACTTTATGTGTATTCACCCCAGTGATTCCCAATTCATTGACATCAACACAAATATTTGGATATTCCATGCCCTGAATGTTTAATCTAGCAAGTCCTAAAACCTCAGAATTGATACCTAAGCTAAGATGCTCGTATCTTCTTTACATTAAGTGCGTTCACCCCAGTGTTTCCCAATTCATTGAGATCAACACAAACTATTTGGATATTCCATGCCCTGGATGCTAAATCTAGCAAGTCCTAAAACTCCAAAATTGATAGCCAAACAAAGCTGCCTAAATCTTCTTCACGTTATGTGTATTCACCCCAGTGATTCCCAATTCATCGAGTACGATACAAACTATTTGGATATTCCTAGCCCTGAAAAATTGTAGAACAATACTTTCCCCCTTTTTGCTTATGCTTTCCAATTTTATCGCCAAAAATCTTCTCCAAAAAACAATTTGGCGCTTTTTGACAGTTTTGTTGACTTGTTGACAACGAAATTTTTGTGCGTATTGCAGCTTTTGCAAAAGTAATAAACCACAAAATCCTATTTTCAAGCATCAAAAGCTCTATTTTAACAAGTATAAAGATATTTCTGATTTCTCAACTACTCACCGAATCCTCAGCATTTGCCACATAGTCCAAAATCTTTGACCACAACTCGAGTGGTAAATTCGGTAAATTGGTGCCCATCTTGTGTGGCTGAAAAGTTCTATATAAAGTAAAATAGAAAATTTAAAGTTGTTGAAAAAAAAAATCGTCATTTAAAATCATAAAAAAAACAGAATTTTGGTTTAAAGTTTAAAATTCTAAAAGACTATAAAGCTTGACACAAAATTTGTGATTGAAAATGAAATTTGAAGAAGTTTTTAAAGCTAGACAACCTCAAGAAGAACGGCTTATCAGTGAAATGTCAAAAAAATTTTAGGATCGGATAAAAACTGTCAAAAATTGAATCGCTTGCCCCTTTTTTGCGTTTTTGATCCAGGAAAAGACAAAAAAAGGGCCTAAAAAAGGTTTTTTTAGGCCAAAGACGCCTGTCTGGGGAACTTATCAAAGAGAAAAAGAAGTGAACTCTTTTCTTTTAGCTCTTTGTAAGTTCTTGACTTTTTTTTTTCAGGTCCACTCATTTGGTGATCGTTCCCCCCTCACTCAGCCGATCAGCCTGGCACGCACTGTTGCCAAACTCATCCCCCTTTTTCTCATTTTTTTTGCACACTTCTCTTTTCCTCTCTTCCTCTTTTCCCTCCCGACTCCCGGGTGGAGATCGAACGCAACATTTTGTGTTGCGAGACAAGATCAATGTCTGATCAAAACAGAACAAAGAAAAGGTGCCAAATACTTTTTGTGATTGTGAGCAAGCAGCAGCAATCAGCAGCAAGCAGCAGCAATCAGCAGCAATCAGCAGCAAGCAGCAGCAAGCAGCAGCAATCAGCAGCAATCAGCAGCAATCAGCAGCAAGCAGCAGCAAGCAGCAGCAATCAGCAGCAAGCAGCAGCAAGCAGCAGCAAGCAGCAGCAAGCAGCAGCAAGCAGCAGCAAGCAGCAGCAAGCAGCAGCAATCAGCAGCAAGCAGCAGCAAGCAGCAAGCAAGCAAGAGCAATTGATTGTGAGCAAGTGAAAGCTAGATTCAGATCTAAATTCTAATGCTACGAAATAAAACCTAGTTTCAAAAAGATTGAAGCTTTTCTGTTCATTGTTTATTCATCCAGATGAGCCTTTTGATTTGATCTTTTTTTTTTTTTTAGGCAAAAAGGGAGCTACTACTTTCTTATCAATCGGGGATGAAAATGAGGGGGAAGCCTGGCACGCCTGTTTACTTCATTCCATTCACCACAAAATCTTTGATATCACTCAAGATAACATGTTGCCAAAATTTGAATTGAATTGGAAATGATGAAAATAAAAATGGAAGTGGGGGAAATGAAACAATGGGTTTGATTTTGTTGAGAAGAAACTAAAGAAGAAACGAAAATGATTGTAAAGATGTGAGCTCCTCCCCCACAAAGCTCTTGTTTACAATGCCCAATGGGAAGAATCATGTTCAATTTGCATTTATCTTTTCCTTCAATCAATAATATTTGCATTTTAAAAATTAAACATTTTAGAGTTGCCATTTTAGACATTTTTAACTGACTCCTTTCTTTTAGACATCATTAAATGAAATCCAAATTGATTTATGATCTTGAACATTTGTGTTTATGCGTCTTTGCATAGAAATTTACACCCTCTTCTTCACCCAGACATCCCTAATGAACTGGATTTTGAGTTCAATGAGAAATAAGAAAAAGTAGCAAAGCAAAGTACTTTAAGAAGTTACCAAGATTTTAGCTGGAACACACAAAAGGCAATACGATTGGCTAAATAAGCAAAATTGAGTTTTTTGAGAATTAAACTTGAGAAACTTGTTGAATGAATTCTTCCCAAATATAGAGCTTCTATGGGGGATTTTAACAAAAAAAATGCAAATCCTGGAGCGCACGAGGGATTAAAAACCAGCTATTAATCGAAAATTCTGAAGTTTTGAACAGGGTCAATGAATAAAAAAGATCATCGCAAATTTGGTATCTAAACATGCTGAAAAAGATAATCTGCCAAACGATTCGGGCAATATGGAATGCACACAGAAAAAAAGGAACGCACGCGTGTGTGTGCGTGTGTCTCGTCTCCGGCTGGGAGGGGAACGGATGGCCAAGAGAAAGAGGTCCGCCCCTCCCCCTCCAGCCCCCCCGGCCCCTCACCCCCATGCTATCCCCCGTCTTTTTCCATCTCTACTCTCCCCGTGTTGTCCATCTTTCCCATTGGCCGAATGCCCTTTTGCGAAAACCTTCGAATCGGTGCCTTTTTCCATCCAGTCCCCTCTTTTTCCGCAACTTTTTTGCACACACACGGTTTTCTAGGCAGCCGAATACTTTCTTTTTCCCTAGTTTTTTTTTTTCGCCAAGGTGAACTCATTGGTCATCGCGAGATTTGAAAAGAAATCGAGATTGATGAGAATGATTTGAATTGCCAAAAAAACGTTGCATGCTAGCGGACTACCACTCTCAGTTTTGAGAAACGAGCCTTTTAACCACTGGCCATATGGAACAGCTTGTTGGCAAAATCTTGGAAAATCTTGTTTTTAGGTGAAAACTTTTCCAGTGTTTACCAGAAAGCCGAGTGGATTCGTTTTTGAGCCGACTCTGACCGAGGATTGCCCTTCTATGTTGCCAGTCCTATTGTCTGAGTCACAAGATCGGTGAGAGCCGAGTAAATTTTCGAAATTTGCAATCAAGCGAACCAAAAACATCAATCCTGGATGTCAGGAAAGGAAATGAGAAAAAAAGAAACTGTAGATTGTAGACTATTAGATTTGCCTGGACTGACGGACTGACTAGGGTCTGAATAAATCCGTGGTCAAGGAAACAACTCTATTTAAGTGCAACTGTAGTAAGTATTGTTATTTAAACCAAAAAAAAAACGTTTCAATTAGCCAATGTGCACTCCATAATTCGTCGTTAGCGTAAAGTTTTCGCAAAATAGCAAAAGACTCATTGTGGAGCGTCGAGATCTCGATCGCGATTAGGATACCCAATAGGATTTGCGTAACTGTTTTTTCTCTTTGGCCAACTTTTTCCTTTCTTCTCTAGATGGCCTTGACAAGATCGAAAAAAAGACGAAAATTTGCGAAAATTTAGCACCCCCAATACAATGATTTAGGACTGCCCACGGAAAATGCGAAACAACACCCGAAATCTCGTGATTACAAAATTTTTTGCCAATTCTGGAATGCACTCAAGTGCTTTAGAGATAGAAATTTGAATTTCAGGTAAATTCAGAAAAGCTCAACTCTGCGAACCAATCTTGACCTTGTATAGCCCTTAAAATAACCTCAAAATAAAATGCTTCTGCATTTTTGGCAGTTATGGAATGCACATAGAATTAGGGGATTTAAAAAGTTAGTACTTTACTTTACTAGTACTTTTTTTCTTAAAAATGACCCCCAGGTCCCCACCCTGGTGTATTTACTCGAGATTGCCCGGTTTTCGAAAAATTTCGATGCCTTTTCGTTTTTTCGAGATTCTCTTTTTTTTTCTGGCTGGCTAGCCAACCCTCCGACCAGTTGACCGCTAAAGAAAAAACTTGGAAATGGCCGACGAAAAAAAGAACAAATAGACGTGAATCGCCGAGTCAAGTCGAAGTGAGGAAAAGGACTACAGGGAGAAAAAAAAACACAAAAACGCAAAAACGACGAAGAACAGCTGGCCTGAATGAATTTTGGAACGCACGAAACGCAATGGAACGATTGAAGCATTTTTTTTGAGTGAATTGCAAGATTTTACATTATTGAACCCTGAGATAGCTGAATATTTTTAGTTTTTTTTTTTTCAAACGCTATAATTTAGCCAAAAATAATTGCCAGATTCCCTTGTGCGTTCCATAGTTTCCAAAAAGCGAAAAATTAGCCAAATAACTTTTTTCGTGGCTAGGAAAAATCCCGATTCAGAAAAAAAAGGGAAATAGAGGAAACCTCGAAAAAAGCAAAACCTTTTCTTTGATCACCCCATATTAAGTGGTGAGCTCCAGGAAAGCCAAAAAAATACGAATCTTTTCGAAAAAGAATGGGGAAGTTGGATAAATATTGCACAACTCGGAGCAACACTCAACAAAAAAAAAACGAAAAGTTTCGAAAACAATGCAAAAAAAGCAAAAGCTGAAGATCAGCACAGAATTTTCGATAAGAAAAAACACAAAAACAGCTAAATTCTTGTGGTCGAGCGTTTAAAATTCGTTTAGTGAGGAAATCTTGAGAGCTGTATTCTAGCAGCAGATTTATTGTTGCGTTTTGCAAAAAATAACAGTACTAGTACACGTTGTGCGCTCCAGCTTACAAGATTCGATCGAAAAAATCGCAAAATTCCTCTGTAAAACCGGTTTTTACGACCCAGTCCCAAAAGTTGAATGAGGAGTGTCGTTTTTTTTGTGATCTGCTCAAAATGCATGATGCAACTAGGGTTGTAGGGACCAAATTGTTGCCAAAGTTTATGAGAAAAGAGAAAGAATCAAACAAATTGGTAAAGATCCCCGTTTCCAATCAGAAAAAACGGCTTTAATGAGACAAAAGGACTTCGAGACGATTTACCCAAAATTTGACAAAAAAAGGTTTAAAAATTTTTCACGAAACCCCATTTTGGAGCTCACAAGACAATTTAGGGAAAAGATTTTTGAAGAAATCAATTTTTTTTCGGATTTTCGAACACCTTGTCCCTTGATGAGTAATGCAGCCTCTTTTGGAAAGGGCCGCCCCTTTCCAAAAGATTTTATCGCAACAATTTTTAGGCTACAAAAAAGGAATTGAAAATTCTGGTAAACATTGAAGATTGAAGACTAAGGAGAAAAGAAAAAGGATATTCTGTTAAGAGTTAAGTGAAGAATTCAGGGCTGAACAGATTTCAAGCCTAAAAGGACGGTGTTAACCATGAATAACTAAATTTCTGTTAGTTATGGAGCGCACGCTATCATCATTTGAGGGATTTGATCGAAAAAGTAAAAAAGTGCATATCCCAGCCTAGCCCATCACCATCAACACCACCCAGTCAACTCATTTCTCACCAAGGGGAGCGCCTGTTTCGAGATCAAGTCCCATCCAATGTTCAATCTTGGAACTCACCAGAGGGGGAAATTGGGAAATGTGAGAGATTGCAGAGATTTCCG